CATAGGAAGTGGTCTCCTGTGCCCATGTGTTGTAGAGTACTTTCCACTTTCTCTTTTATCTGGTTCAGTGTGTTCAGACTGATATTGAGGTCTTTAATGCATTTGGACTTGAGTTTTGTGCATGGTGATATATATGGATCTATTTTCATTCTACAAATTGACATCCAGTTTTGCCAGCACAATTTGTTGAAGATGCTCTCTTTTTTCCATTGTATACTTTTAGCTCCTTTATCGAAAATCAGGTGTTCATAGGTTTGTGGGTCAAAGTCCAGGTCTTCTATTCGATTCCGTTGGTCGACTTCTCTGTTTTTATGCCAATACCAGGCTGTTTTCAATACTGTAGCTCTGTAGTAGAGTTTGAAGTCAGGGATGGTAATGCCTCCAGACGTTCCTTTATTGTATAAGATTGTTTTGGCTATCCTGGGTTTTTTGTTTTTCCATATAAAGTTGATTATTGTCTTCTCCAGATCTGTGGAGAATTTTGATGGGATTTTGATGGGGATTACATTGAATCTTTGGCAAACATTTCTTGATGTGAACAACTAATTGTAGCTGGCTTTCTAAATTGATTTGTATTTATATGATTTAGTTCTTTTAAATTTATGAAGACTTGTTATGTGGTTCAGTTTATTGTCTATCTCAGTGCACTTAGGAAAAAAATGTTGTGTTGGGCAAAATATTCTATAGATATTAATTAGGTAGGTTGGTTGGTAGAACTGATCTAAACATACTGGTTTTCTGCCTTGCTTATCCTGTTATTTACTAAAAAGATGAATTTTGAAGTATTAAATAGTTGTAGATTTTTCTATTTTTTCCTTTTTTATTTTATTTTTACTTGTGTGTTAATGTCAAATGCTATAACAGTATGCTTTCACTTATTCCTTTTTCCCCTTCTGTGTGTGTGTGTGTGTGTGTGTGTGTGTGTGTGTGTGTGTGTGTGTATTTGGAGACAGTAGCTCATGTTGCCCATGCTGCCCTCAACATGCTTCAGCCTCCAAGGTCCTGCATGTCAGGCCTCACTACGCTCCCTTTCTTTTTGGCTTGTACTGTTGTTAAACATCTATATTTGTTTTAATCTCTATAATCTAGTAATTTTTCCTTTGATTTTTGAAAGATTTTTTTTGCTGAATATAAAATTATGTTAAAGTTTTCCTTTTTTCTGTACTTTGAAAATAATGCCTCTCGCTTGCTTTTTTTTTAATTTTTTCTTTTTGGTTCCTGTCCTGGAACTAGCTCTTCTAGACCAGGCTGGCCTCGAACTCACAGAGATCCGCCTGCCTCTACCTCCCCGAGTGCTGGGATTAAAGGCGTGCACCACCACCCCCCGGCAAGACCCTAGATCTTAACCGCAGATTGTTCCGTAGCTAAGTGTCTTACTGTTTTCAGGCCTTTCCTCCTAAGCTGTTTTCTCAGTCAGGANCTTTTTAAATTTATTTATTTATTATGTATACAACATTCTGCTTCGATATATGCCCGCACGCCAGAGGAGGGCGCCAGATCTCAGTACAGATGGTTGTGAGCCACCAATGTGGTTGCTGGGAATTGAACTCAGGACCTCTGGAAGAACAGCCAGTGCTCTTAACCTCTGAGCCATCTCTCCAGCCCCCACCTTTATTATTTCTTACAAAATATGTTTTTATTTTCTTTGTTTGCTTTTAAGATTTTCTTCTGTTAAAGTGATTCCATAGGTTTTCTTCTGTCGTTGAACATTTGCAATTTATTCAGTATTTTAATCTGTGGGTATCAGTTTGGGGAACTATTTGATCTTTTCAGGAAAGTTGAAAATTTGAATAATAAACACACACCTTTATGTATTAGGATACTACTTAAGAGAGTGGGATAGCATAAAGACTTGACACACAATAGACCTTAAAATTGCATATTTGTGAGTTTTTTCTATAAATAGCATTGACTCTTAAGGCCAGAGAAAGCCATAAAAATTACTTGTGATGTTTTAATTTCTTCAAGGAACACTATCAGTTGCTATGAGAGTATGTATGTGATCGTTCTTTTCTATCATTTATGCAAGAAATTATAGGATACCTATTTTTTGTGGTAATTATCTTTTTGACCAAAACCTTTCTAAAATTGGAGTTTGTTTAGGGAAGAGAAAAGGTTATAGAGAGACCTCCTGGCAAAGAGCTTGAGCTAGAAGCTAAAAACCAAGACAATTTCCTGGACTTCTTCAGGTTAATAAAAGTAGACATTTAGGTGGATTGCACACTGTTTAAAATGGAGGCTGAAATCATAAGCAGTAGTCAATATTTATAATTAAGGTGTGACTACATGGCCATTGAAAAGTGAAATGTGTGTAATGAAAATATTTAGATTCTAGAATTCTGGGTTTAAATCTCAGTGCTAACAGTCTTTGAAGCCTTTGGCAAGTTTCCTATAAAGACTTTCTTTATAAAATTGAAGAAACCTCAGGTTACTATGAAAAACTCTGAATTATATCAAACTATATAATATTTAAGACTACAAAAAGAATCTATACATTACAGTATACCAAGAATATTCCTATACCAAGAATAGGTGAGCTCTGAAATTTAAAAATAAAAGATATGTAAAAGTCAAATTTTTACCAGAAACCATTACTTGGCCCACATTTTCAGTTTTATCAAGGCAATTCCTTTTTAATTGACTTCCATATCTGATGTAAGAAATGGGTCAAATAATCAAATAATAAACTAAACCTGATACAGGTCATATAGAGCCTATGGTACATTATTTTGGCCCCAGTGAATCACCTGCTTCCTGACATCTGCACCCTTCTCAACAGTCTTCGTATACTGACCTTGGTATGTTGTGTTACTTCTCTGACACAGATACTTGATGTGCATTTGTGCTTTCCCTTTTAACACTTTTAGCACAGAATGAGGATGAGAGACCACTTAAAAGATCTGATTTTCTCAACTATTAACAGCCATCCAAGGCTAGTGAATTAGACTGTGAAGGTCAGCACTAACATTAGCTAGCCTGAGAGATGAAAACTTCAAAGCAGCAAAATCTCTGGAGATTTTGAAGACATGTCTTAGATTTATCAGGTTCCACTGAGCTGTTATATTAAGCACTGACTGACTTACCAATAAGAGCAACGATGAAATGGTAGATGTGACCAGACTCTATAGCAAATTACATTTGTCAGCTCTAGCCTCTTATTGACTAGCTCTTACATATTGATCTAACCCATTTCTAATAATCTGTGTAGCCCACGAGCTGGCTTACCAGGGAAGATCTTAACCTGCGGCTGTGTCGGGTGGGAGAATCATGGCGACTCACTGACTCAGCTTCTTTCTCCCAGCATTCTGTTCTGTCTACTCCGCCTACCCAATTTTCTGTCCTATCAGAGGCCAAGCGGTTTCTTTATTACTTAACCAATGAAACAACAGATAGAAAGATGACCCTCCTCCATCACTGGAGTATGGGAGATGGACCAAGATGGTTCCGTGGATTTCAGTAGAAAAAAACTGGGAGAATTTAGCATTTGCTAATGGAGAAAACAATAGATGTTGGTGTTAAAAGGAAAGAGCTCACTGACGGTCGACAATACATCACTGGCAGGTGATGCTATGTAAAAGCATTTGCTTTTACTTTTGATAATGATAAAAATCTGGTATTATTAGATGTGCAGGGGAGTGTTAGTGCCTCTTTTAGTAATCTGAGTACTGGTGTTCATATTCTGTTACTGGTGTGTCACCAGTATACAGATGGGATTTGTTTAAAGCCCAGGACAGCACTGCCAAAAGAGTTCAGAAGTCAGACATTTAGAAACTACACTGAATATAGAAAACTGATAAAATTGTTAAACATGGTTATCCTAGAAGTGAAGTGGGGGGAACAAAACAGTATCAAGAAGGCAGAATCTCTTTTAAGTGCTGCTCACAGGTTGAAAAGTGACCTCTGGATTTAGCTATGTGGAAGTCATTGAGGATCTATCTTATCAAAAAAAGCTTTTCTTTGGAAAAGTGGGGCATAATAAGACTGAATTGTCTTCAGCTGTGTCTGAATGGAGACAGGGTCTTGCCCTGTAGCCCAGACTTACGGCAGTCCTCCTGTCTCAGCTACTTCTCCCAGTTTATGAAAGTTTTTTAAGATGGACACATAACATTTATTTATAAGATAGGATAGGATAAGAAACAACAGAAGAAAAGTCCAACAGAGAGGAGATAAATGGTTAAAAACTATTTCCTGATAGCCACAGGGACTTGCCTGCATATTCTGTATGCCTAGGAATGATGGTACAGCAGCAGAAGGGCCAAAAGCTTAAGAGCAGTCTGGGCTACAGTGCAAGTTCAAGACCAGTTTGTTTAAAATGAAATTCTTGAAAAAAAGAGTTGGTGATATAGTTTAATAACAGAGCATTTGCCTAGTATAAAGAACCTGGGTTCAATTCCCAGTACCACCAGACATACATAAAATATGCATAAAAGGAAAAAAGTTTCTGAACTAAATAAAATTAATGGCAATTTAGAGAGGATGAATAACTACTACTAATTCCTGGGAGCCTACTATACATACAGTGAAATACAAATAATGCAAGTTAGGAAGTTGGACTTTGTACTTCCCTAATCTAAAGGTACTCAGTACTTTACATTAAAAAAAAAGACTATGATTACGTTTTCCAGTGTCAAGGATAGAATCAAAACTCCTGTTCTCATTTTGTTCTCTGTTCCTTTCCTTTTTAAATTTAAAAACATTTTTCAGAGCACTTTTAGACCTTCACTAAAGTTATTTCTTTCCCCATAGTTTTCAAGTTTGTTATACAGTTAAAAACATTTAGCTGCTTCAGATTCTCTTCTCTCCCTTAACAATATGTGTTAAGGTTTCTTTCTCCTTTTTCATATACTAAGTAATAAATAGTTATCAGGATGTACCATAGACTGTTCATCTGCTACAGGGCCTCTTGGTTGCTTCCAGGATTTGATAATAATAAATAAAATTGCTGTAAACATCTGCATGCAGATTTTGTGTAGACATAAGTTTTCATTTTGTTTGTGTAGGTGCCGGAAGCACAATTTCTGCACTGTGTGGTGAGTATAAAATGTGAGAGACTGCTGGACTATTCCATTGGCTGCACTAGTTTGTGCTACCTCTAACAGTCAGGGAGAGTGTCTATGGAGCCACATACTCATCAGTATTTTGGTTTTGTCAGTGTTCTGGATTTGGCCATTTTACTAGTATAGAGTGGTCCCATTTTTCTTTTGATTTGCATTAACCATAGTTTCAGTTCTATTTCCTACTCTTTCAAATTTGTACCATGATTTGATATTCTGTTAATCCTACACCTGCTATTCACATATACAGATACCTGATTACTTCACTTTTTTTTTAAGGTACTCTTTCCTGACCATTTTTCTATCATGCTAATTTAATTAAAATTGCTTTCTTTTTAGTTTTTTCTCTATTGTAGGACTTGTTTGTTCATTTAAAAATTTTTTAAGCTTGCTTTGCTTGCATACTTCAAGAAGGTATAGGTGTTATTACAAAGAATCAAATGTTTTTTAAAAAGCTAACTGAATTAATAAAACATTAGTTATCTCAAAAAAAAAGCTAACTGAAAACTTGCTCTGGTATATCTCATCTAATATAAAAATTGGGATCAGAAGAAACAGCTTTCTCATTGTTGATGACCTAATCTAAATTTCTTAATTATGTACAGAATTGAACTGTTTTATTATGGATCTCAGATGTTTTAATTTCTGTACAATTATTTACTGTCTGATACATAGTACATAGCTTGCACTTAATGAAAGCAGAGTCTGGATTTTAGAGAGACAAGTAAATGCTCATGTGTTTCTTTAATTATATAAAGTGGTGTATTTCCTGTATTTAAAAAAATCTGATATGCTTGGTTCTCATATTTCTTGTTTCTATTTTTTTTTTCTAAAATGCCTGAAAACTAGTATTAGATGTTAGGATCCTGGCTTTAAATTGAGACATTGTCCACATTGACTTGTATTTATTTGGGTGAATTTCATAGTAAGTACCATGCTAGATGTATATATACAAATACACACACACACACACACACACACACACACACACACACCTGAATAGATCAGACCTTATTTAGTGGAAAAATATGTAAACAAATGATTTATTTGTATAGTGCTGTAGCAAAACTGCACACACGTATACTGGAATAATTGGCTAAACCACAGCTTTCTTACAGGCATTACCTCAGTTTTTACTTGAGCCAAGAATGAGCTGGTCAGATGAGGGAAAAAGGAGTACATTCCAGGTTGAGTGAAAGTGCCAATAAAGATGCCGAGAGGCAGAATAGCGAGAAACTAAGAGTAACAGAGGCTCTCTGTGTCAGAGTCAGAGCTTCGCCATCTGATTTACTATGTCAAGGAAGTTGGAATTGCTTTCTCTCATTTTTTCTCACGAATATATGCTTTGAAAGTATAGCAACAAAGCTCATTTCTGTCATTTTAGTGCTAAAAATTATGAAAAACCTTGTATTTGATTCACTTTCCTAATTTGTAGAAGATAGTGGTTACATTTTTTTGACTGGTTGGGGGTTGTAGTTGACTGTAAACGGTAAAGATAAATGCAGTAATGGGTGACTTCTTTTTTCAGTGCTTATAGTAATAATAGCTTCTGTTACTCTTCATCCTCAGAACATCTCAGTGAGGTGGTTTATTTAATTATCTCTATCTTCTAACTAAACTGGAACACCTTAGGTTCCACTAAACTGTTTCACTTTAGGTTATAGCTAGCAAATAGTAGCTTCATTTGTTTAAGACCCATAACAGTGTCTCTTATGCTCCCATTTTGTGAGATCACATATATAGAATACTTCAGTATAATGTCTAGCACATAAGAACTATAAATAATGCCAGGTGGTAGTGGTGCACATCTTTAATCCCAGGCAGAGGCAGTCAGATCTCTGTGAGTTCTATGCCAGCCTGGTCTACAGAGTGAGTTCCAGGACAGCCAGGGCAGTTACACAGAGAAACCCTGTTTTGGAAAACAAAAGTAGGAAAAAGGGAGTCCCATGTGGTTTGATGTTGGTCCAGGGCAGTCTCACTCTGTAGATCTCCGCTAGGAAACGGGTATCAAACTGTCCTATAGAGATCACTCAGCTTGTAAACAGTGAAGCACACATAAGGGCGTCATTTAGGGTCTACAACCAAAATCTGTTAGAAATATATACGGAATAACATTTAAGGGGTTTTAAGAAAGTAATATAAAAAGAAGAGAAACTTTGTTATTTTTCCTTTGCTTTTTGCATTAAGTCATTTAAAATCAATTTTTAAAAGTTTTTCCCTAGGGGCGTTCTCTGTTTTTTGTGTTAACTCATATTTTCCTCCTCTCCTCTATCTAGAGTGTCTTAAACCATTCTACCTTGTGAGAAATTGGATGCTCTTGCAGATAGTCATTGTGGGAGAAAACGTTTCATTTAAGTCCCAGATGAGGACCGAAAACTTGAAATCAGAGGAGCATCTGAAATCAAGTAATATTAGGTAGGATAAAAATTACAAGGGATTTCTGCATTGTTTTTCATTTCCAAGGTGTATATTAAATTTCATATTCATATTGATATTCTGTGGACGTTGTGAAAAGAATTTGAGACTTCCTGAAGGATTGGGAAAGGATATGCTAAAAATTCTATTTTTACTTATGTGGCTTTGTGAGAAATTAAAGCTAGGTTTACTTTGACATTAACATTGATATCTTGTGGTCCAAGGAAACTTCTTTAAATATACTGAAATACATTTGTATGTTTAGATACAAAGTTTTCTGAGTATTTATAAGCCTAGGTACATGTGATTCATCTTTTTCATATAAAATTTTTTCTTTATTATATTTATGGGTGTTTTGCCTGCGTGTATTTGTACATACCACAAGTGTACACTATGTGAGTCCAGAAGAGAGTATTGGATACCCTGGGACTGGAGTTAAAATGATTGTGAGCCCATGTCGGTGCTGGGCAGTGAACCTGGGTCATCTGGAAGAATAGCCAGAACTTTTAACTACTTCCTGAGATTCATCTTATTAATTTTTCTTCAGAGTTAAAGAAACTGTCTTTTACATATTTGGTGATTTTATTTGACCCCAGGAAACATCAATTCTGGGATTTACTTGTCAGCATGGATTCAATTAAATGCCACAAAGACCTTGAGAGTTTGATATTACAGAAGACCTCTTCTGCATGACCAGTTAGTAACTCTTGCTGTAGCATCTTAATGACATAGTGTATCTGATTCATAACAGAGGTGTGGTTTTACACTTAAAGTTTTATACTCTATAAATTGATACCACCATGATTGATGGTGACATTTGTAACTACTTCATTTCAGAAAACCTGCTTCATTTTTATAGTGCTTATGAGCTCTGGTTCTGGAATTGCATTGCAAGGTAGAATCAGAGCTCTGCTACTTCCTAATCCTGTGACAGTAGGAAAATTATTTCATCCCTCTGTCCTACTTACCTGATAGAAAGACTGAAATTTAAAGTTGTTTGCTTGTTTTCAGTGTTGTGGGTCAAGCATGGACATGGCTCGGCAAGCATTCTACCACTGAGCTACATCCTTGTCTACCCCTGCTATTTGTTGTTTTAAAGTAAGAGTCTTCTTAGGTAGGAAGGGCTAGCCTTGAACTTACTGTGTTACCTAGGGATGACCCTACACTTTAAATCCTACTGCCTCCATCTCGGGACTGCTTGTGTGTTACAGGCATGTACCTCTGTGCCGAGTGGAATGTAAAGATTTTATAATAGGTGAAAGCCTGGCAAGAAGACTTAGCAGATAATACATTATTAATTATATTATCAGGCTATTAATTAATTAATTTTTTATTTTATTATTATTTATTTATTTTGGTTTTTCGAGACAGGGTTTCTCTGTGTAACAGTGCTAGCTGCCCTGGAACTAGCACTTGTAGACAGACTGGCCTTGAACTCATGGAGATTCTCCTGCCTCTGCCTTCCCAGTGCTAGATTTAAAGACATATACCACCACTACCTTGGCAGGCTATTCATTTTAACTGATGATTTGGACTCTGTTCTCAGCATGCATTTCAGTCATTTATTATTTGCTTCATATGTTATCATGTCTCAGGTTTTTAAATGTTACTTTGAAATAATCAGATATAATCATAACTGATATTATAGAGAAAGGACAGAGTTTAAAGAAAAATGGCAAAACATCCTAACTCGGTTCTTTTGTATTCTCTGTGTCTGCCACCAATGTTATTTTCTATTCATACAAAAAAATATATTGGTTTTATCATCTGTTCACATGAGAACATAGTTTTATGGTATCTAAATAATTTATCTTTCTGTCCTTAAATGTTTTGTGGAGGTAAAGAACTAGAGTCCTTAACTGCCCCTTTGAACTGTTGTCTTTACTCCACTGTGTTCTTCCAGAAGAGATCCCAGGAAGCAGTAGGGGAAGGGATACCTGACTGCAGTTAGAATCCGAACTAGCAGGTAGTTTGGTCCCAGATTTTCCTTCTTTGAGATGTCATTTAACATGCTTTGTCTTACTTAGTCTCAGCAACCTTCATCTCTGAATGCCTGCCTGTACACTTACTTCAGCTTTCTCAATTACCTATACTGCCTGAACTGCTGTTGGATTCTTTGCTCTGTATTGTCTCCCCTTCCTAGTTGAACTTTGGAGATTTCTTGGAAAGGAGAGTTTTTCTAGTTAGTATTATCATTATCTCATTTCCAGTTATGATCTTTAATCTATGCTTTATACATCTAGCGTCATTTCCCCATGTGTGTATGTGCCCTGTATGCATGCAGTGCCCACTACATCTAAGTAACCTAATAGTGATTCTGTACTCTGACTTTGAATTCTTAAACACAGCAAGTCTTCTCATACATAATCTGCTGCCTTCCTTGGTTCTCCAACTTCATATGTAGCTTTTGACTTTGCACTTTATCTGTTTACTGTCTCAGTTTTGTCTTTGGCTCTTGTTTTTGAGATTCCTAGATCAGAATGGAATATATACATATACTCACAGATTGTATGTAAGTAGGTCATGTAGTGATGTATGGTATAGAGCAGTGGTTCTCAACCTTTCTAATGTTGCAACCCTTTAATACAGTTCTCGTGTTACCGTCACCCCAAATATAACATTATTTTATTACTACTTCATAACTGTACTTTTCCTACTGTTATGAATTGTAATGTAAGTCTCTCATGTGCAGGATAGCTCATATTTGACCCCTGTGAAAGGTTGTCATCCCAAAAGGGGTCATGGCCCTCAGGTTGAGAAATGCTGGTATAATTGGCATGTACCAAGCTTTTATACACTGACAGAAAGCAAATCCATTTTTGTTAACTTAACTGAGGAAAGCTCTGAGTAACAGCACCTTCCCTAGAGTTCCTTCTAAATAACTGTAGTACAGCATTTTTATTTTTCTCTAGTTGATTTACTATTAGAAAACTTGCTGTCTAGAGAGCTTATATTTATGTTTCTCTGTGTCCATAGGATATTCACCGTACAGTATTTGGCTTACTATTTGGCATAATTAGGTTATGATTTGATTCTTATGTTTATGACTATAATAGGTGAATATTGTAGTTATCTCAAATTGTTCCTTAGAACTATATGTTGAACAAGTGAACAAAGTAAGTTAAAAAAAAAACCCACCTTGGCTCTTCCTACAAGGAAAGAAAAAAGAAAACCAACTACTCTAGCCACTTATCCCAAAATAAGTGGCTTAGCATTTGTGTGTTTTATTTTGATAGCTGTGAGTTTAGAATGGTTCTGATTTTTTTTTTAAACAGGGAAAATAGATCTGAACTTCAAGAAGAAAAATCTTTTATGTGTCCCAATGCTATATGGACTATTACTACTATATGTTTGAATTTTATTTTCTTAGACTCAGACGTGCTTGGCTGTAGTGATTAGGAACTAAACTCTGAAGCCAAAGTACTACTTCCAAATCTGTGACCATGGGCTTGTTACTTAACCTCTCTATATCTGCTTATGTTTTCTTCAGGTATAAAATGGAGACAGTAATAGCACATAGTTTACATTAAACTATTTACTTACACAAGGCCCTTAGAACAGTGTTATAGTGCTAGTTTTTGTAGTAGCTAGTGCTTGGAATGCATTAAATGTATTTATAGATCTTGATTATGTTATCTCCATGTGAATTGTTTCAGATTATAGTTTCCAATGTATTGTCACTGATCCAGCCTTTTTTGGCACTTTATTTCACTTTTTTCTCTTTTATTGTTTGACAGGCATAGTTTATTTCTCCTAATGAATACTGGTATAGTAGCACACCTGTAGTTCCAGCCCTTGGGGAGACTAAGGCAGGATGGTCATGGAAGTTCAAGGCCAGCTGGTACCATATAGCAAAATAAAAGAAAACAAACAAAAATCCCAAAGACAATGTATATAATATTTTGAAAGTTTATATATTTAACTAACTTTGCTCTTTTATTATGAAGAGTATTGTAACATGAGAGCTGGCTTGTTTGTTGGGGTTTCTGTCCTGCCCGGTACCCCACAACTGTTTAGCCCCAAAGAAAATCACACATAGGTCTCCATAAATTATAAGCTGATTGGCCCATTAGCTCTAGCCTCTCACTGGCTAACTTTCACATCTTGATTAACCCATTTTTTCTGATCTATGTTAGCCATGTGGCTCAGTACCTTTTTCAGTGGGGCAGATCACATCCTGCTGCTTCGGTGGTCTGGGCAGGAGTGAGAGGGATCAACTTCCTCCTTCCCAGAATTCTCCTATTTTCATTATATCATTTCTACTTCGTGTCTGGTTTTCCCGCCTATAATTCCTGCCTGGCCAGTCAGTGTTTATTTATAACATGATTGACAGAATACAGACAATTCTCCCACACCAGAGTATGGTGGTTTAATTTTGGGATTCTTGGTATTTTCATTCCTTTCAGTATTCCTTTAGTTTAAAGTAAGAACAGACACACCTCACCATTGCTCATGTTCTTCTGAGAAGGACATCTTGTTATCCAGACAGGTGGGACTGTAGGGGCAGGTGTCCTGTAAGTGTAAAGACAGCCTGTGCCACAGCAAATTCCAGCCCTGCCAAGGCTATGTATATAGTTAGGTCCTGAGCTTTGGTTGTTTTTGTTTTAAGATGCTTGTATCTATATGAGCATTGAGTAACTATAAACTAATGTTAATTTGTTATAGTTTTTTTTATCAAGAATTGCTGAAATATAGTTTTTTTTGTTTGTTTTTCTTTAGACTAGAGAGTATTCCATTTTGAGAAAAAGACAGGAAAGCTGTGGCTGGTAGGGGAGGATGTGTGTTTTCTCAGTTTGTGTGACCTTGGATTTTTAAAATCATATGCTGGCAGTTTTTTTTAATGGTGAAAGTTAAGACCTAAAGTGATGAGTGAAGATGGACTATATGGATAATGAATTTGGTATACAATGTTCAGTACTAAGCAGAGTTATCTGGTGAGCATTGTGCATTTGTATTAATAGTTTTTTATGTTAAACCCCATTGTGATTCTCTTCAAAAGATATAGATAGATAGATAGATAGATAGATAGATAGATAGATAGATATAGATATATATGAATATGTAAGCAATGGATGTCTTTAAAGACTACAAGAAACAAAAGTATTTTATATTTTACTGAAGTTAAAATTTAAAATTTACAATCATGGGGACTGGAGTGGTAAGAACACTGGCTTCTCTTCAGTTCAGAGGATGCTTGTTTCATTCCCACCTACATGATAGCTCATGACCCTCTGTAGCTGAGTTCTCGGAATCTTCTGGTCTCTGCTAGTGCCAGGCACACAAGTAATGCACAGATGTACACACAAACTGTCTTAAGTTAGGGTTTCTGTTAGTGTGATAAACACCATGACCAAAAGCAACTAGGGGGAAGTTTATTTCACTTAGACTTACAGGAATAGTCCATCGTGAAGGGCATTGTCTGCTTTCTTAGTCAGCTCACTTTCTTCTACAACTCAGGACCACTAGCCATTCTGGGACACCTCCCACAGAGAGCCTGGCCCTCCCACCGAATTAATCAGTCGAGAAAATGCCCTGCAGGCTTGTCCACAGGCCAGTCTGGTGAGGTCATTTTCTCAGCTGTGGTTCCTTCTCAAATGACTCCAACTTGTGTCAAGTTGACAAAAACCAGGACACAGGCAAAACATCCATATACAATGAAATAACAGTTTTTAAAAATTTAGTTACTATAAAATATGTAAAATAGTGCTTTCCCTAAAATGTTTAGTACCTTTATATTCTTCTAGTTTTTGTTCCAGTTTAGTTCTTTTGAAATGGAAATCTCGTGGTGTAATAACTTTTAATTGTTTTGTTAGTTGACATATACAGTGGGTACAGTGTGATGTTTGAGTGCTTGTATTCAAGCCTCAGGATGTTTGGGTGTATTCTTCGCCCAGTGTATTTATCTTTGTGGAGATAACATTTAAACTCTACTTCTGGTTGTTAAGATTAGATGATCAGCATGTTTTGTTAGCTGTAATCATTCTTCTGTGCAAGAGAGTACCAGAACCAGTGGGAGAGCATGTTTCAGAGTTCCTGATAATCAGAATGCTAGTCAAAAGGGATTCTGATGTTACGTATTTTTAAAAGCTGTATTACTATAAAGCAACTTTGGTAGACAAAGAATTTCCTTATTCCAGATGTGTTTCACAAGGAAGTGTAATGCTCTGACTCATACACAAAGCAGGAGTGATTGTTAACCAGTAAATGGGGGTGGTGTTCTTAGCCCAGGGACTATCCTTTTCAAAAGTACAGTGACAGACAGACCGCTAGATTAAGGAGAGAAGAGTGGTGAAAGCTAAGAATTCAGAGACTACAGAATTTGTCACTAAAGACTTTGTAGTGGAAAATCACTAAGTTCAGGCAGCTAGTTGGCAAGATGAAGCATGGTTTCAAAAATACCTTTTGCAGTAGTTCAGATGAGGAATGGGTATAGGGAGGGAGGGCAAAGTGGTAATGCAATGAAGGTACAACTGCTATTTAGAGGATAGCATTTCTCAGGAATTGCTAGATAGTAAGACTTTGGAAGAAGGTGGGCATAAAGAACTTTTGGGGATTGCCTTCCACAGCTCAAATGCTTTGATAAAACTACCATGACAAAGAAAACATTCCTAAGAGAATGAAGTATGAAGTTAAGGGTAGACCATGAGGTCAGTTTAGGGCCTTTCCTATACAGACAATTCTTGACTTTCAGAGGGGGAAATTCTTGGTTTTTTTTTTTTTTAAAGAAGAATGTATGGGGAACTTGAACATGTTTTTATGTTCAAAAACATAAAACATGTTTTTATGTTCAAAAACAAAGAGATGGAATTCTCAAGATTGTCAAAAAGGAAAGAAAAATCAAGTCCTTAATGAAATGCTAGAAAGAGCATTCCATTGAAATGAACTTTGATCTCATAAGGGGAGGACACTAAATGCCAGAGCAGAGCTATGTAACTGTCATCGCCAGTGGGGAAAGGGACAGGAACAAGCAGCTTGAGAAGAGTAGAAATTTGAAATGTCATGGTAACCGGTAAATTGAAAACAAACTAGTCTTCAAGGTGTTGGGGGAAACCTTGTAATACCTTTACAGTCAGATTTGGGGAAGTTACCAGTTTAATCTGTGAAGTAATTTGTAAGTTCTGACATCAATTTCCCTAGACCCAGTGTTATACTGCATGTTAAGGGAAGGTATAGACTTCCCAGCCATCTAGCCTTATTGTAATGCATTGTTTTACTTGATAATTTGATATAATTATATTAATTGACTTGGTTTGTTTTTTAACTAATGTTATTTTTTCTTATCTAGGCAGGCAGAAGTCCTGAAGGCTGAAATGACAGGTATTGACTGTCTTAATTCTTTATTAGTACCTATTTTATTCTATTAAGTTAATGGAAGAAAATTCCCTTTTGGGGGTATAGTACCAAATCCTGTGCTAGTTGCCAAAACAATAATAACTCTGCTTTAAATGTCTATTGGTCTTATATTTTGGGTTTTCCCTTAAATACTTCTCAGGAGATTAATGTAGTAGTATATGCTGCATTTGAATTGCTATTAATTGCATAATTGTTTAATTTTATGAATCTTTTATTAATAATATATAAATTATTCACACTCCATTGTAACTATATAAAACTTTGTTTGATTAATATTTTCCCAGGAAATATTTTCAGTTTGTAGTTACTCAAACCTGAGTAGTAAGTAAGCCTTCAGGAAAGTTGCTTATATAGAAACTGCTCTCAAAGTCTGAAATTCAATGAGCAGCCTTTTCTCATCTTTTCTGCTCAGAATAATAGCTAAAGTCCATTGGGAAGAATTTTGGACTTAACTGCTGAAATAAAAAGATAATTCAAAGCTATTGATCAGCATGTCATTGATAACAGCATGTGTTATCCTAACCTATCAAAGAGAGACGTGATAATGGATAGTATTCTAGTCTGGGAGGAATTTAGTTGTATGGTTAACACATGAACAGTTCAGCTAATGTTGATTGATAACCAGCATTCTGACCAAAATTTATAATTGAAAAAGGACTATACTACTAGAGAGATAGTGTTTCTTCAGCTTTGACAGGGTATAATGTTTATGAGGAGCCTGATTATTGTATCATAAAGTATAAGGCAAAAGAGAAACAAGGGTTGTTCACTGCTGTTCTTCCTATTAGCACATTTGTGGCCATCATCCACATTGTGTGATACCAGTGTTAGAATTAGAGCTTGGATTAGCCTTAGAAATATTTTCTGTATCATGTATATGGAACAGCATCAAGCTGCATGTACCATATGCTTTTTCCCAAAGCATCAAACATTTGTTTAAATTTACTCATTTGAATGACTTCTGCAATCCCCTAAAGCCCAGTGTAGTGGCGCACACCTGTAATACCAGCACTTCAGAGTGAAGGTAGGAGGAGCACAGGCTCAAGGCTAGCCTGCGCTAGACATTGAGATCCCGCCTCCAAACAAATGAACAAAAAGCACTTTATAAGACTCAGTTTTTACTAGCCAGCAGACCTCTGTATTAACTCAAATATCCAGGGCACTCTTTGCTGAATAGGATTATAGTGAATTATGGATACTAATGGCCAAACTAAAGAGGAGTGGAAACTGTGACAATGTATAGCAGCAAACTCCTAGATGAAATTAAATTGTTTAACTAGATATTGGAAATTTGTAATTGTAAAGTTTGTTAAGTAGTTCTGAGGAAGCTTACTGTCAGCATTCGAACTGTTCAACCCCTACAGGACTTTGGCAGAAAATGTGACCCCATTTCTTAAATACATAATCAGAGCCTGACTTCCTAATTTTATTCTATACAGTTACTCTTCTGACCTTTTGAGCAGTTTAATACCAGGCCTCGGCCTTCCTTCACATTTAAGTTATAATATGGACTGATCACAGAAGTGCCATGGATGGGCATGTCCCATTCATGAAAATAATTTTCATAGTTACACTAGGGTAGTATAATAGAGTAGTAATAATCCAGGCATCTGCTGGTTGGTGAACTTACAGAAAAATTTTGTGAGGATCCTTGTAGGAATGATTCAAAATCAAAGGGAACCATGACTTGAATGAAGATACAGTTACAGGGGTAAACAATTTGATAGATGACATTATTTCAAATGGAGTGACTCATTTGAGATATATGACCTGCTGTGACATGAACAGGCAGAAATCCAAACCAACAGCAAAGAGTGAATCGTTTTTCAATGGCCATTTTAATTTCATAATGAAAATTTAAATCTGAAAGATGGGTGGAGTGAATGGGTCAGCACACAGGAGTTTTTTCTGTGCACAAGCATGGAAACTCAGATTCCAGCAACCATGTAAAGTCATGCTGGGCATACCTGCAACCCCAGCACTAAGGAATACGGAAGGTAGAGACAGCAAGATCCCTGGGACTCGCGAGTGCAGGTAGAGTGATAGAAGGATGCCTGATGCTCTCTTTGCTCTACTCATCCAGTGCATACACCCACACACACTCACATAAACACCATACACATACACTTCATACACATGCACATGGTATACACGGTTTTAAAAAATAGCTAAAACAACAAACAAAAGCATTTTAAATCAAATTTAGCTATTAGCCGAAAGGCAGAAGTGAAAGTCCTTTGAAATACAGTAACATAAAACTCGTGCAGCAGTGAATGGGGAGAGAAGGAGTCATTGGTGTGGCTCATGGATTAAGTGACTTAACAACATGGTGGTGTTTTGTTTGCTTTGTTACACAGATTCTAAGCTGGGTCCAGCTGAGGTCTGGACATCCAGGCAAGCTCTGCAGGACTTGTACCAGAAAATGCTAGTTACTGATCTGGAATATGCTTTAGACAAGAAAGTAGAACAGGATCTGTAAGTATTGTCATTTGAGATGTTCCTGTGCAATCAGGAATCGTCAAGACTTTGAAACATAAATGTTTAATTGATAATTTTTCAACCTGCCCTAGTGTAAACTTTTTAAATGAAATTCTAATACTTGTGATTTTAAAAAAAGAAATTTAATGATTAGTGTTTTTTTTCAGGTGCAGTCTTAGAGGGTGAGAGGAGGACTGTTTAGGTTTGAATTTTACCAGAGACAGTTCTTAGAACATACTGGAGTGGACAAATTTAAACATATGTATGATACTTCAAATTTTAAGTGTATCTGTATTGAGTCTTATAATTAAACCATGATAGTAAAGATAGACTTTTCTTTGATAGTGGGATTTTGCATTTGGTCTTAGCCCAAAAGCCAAGAAACTATGGTCAATGTCATGCTGTTTGTTCAACAGGAAAGTGTATTTGATTGTAAGTAAAGTTCATTTAATCAAATCCATCGCTATATCTTCCTGCTCACCAGAAAACTAAAGAAAGATTTTGTGTGTTTAGGCAATTCCACGTATTCTTTCTAGGAAGCATGAAATGCAGATAATCAGTGAGTGAATAAAGGTCTTTGGTAGAAGATTTTGTCTTATAAATTGAAATAGGGACGGTAAGTTTGATGGAAAATTAAGCAGCAGTTAAGAACATTCTGTTTTTAATCCTAGCACTCAGGAAGCAGAGGCAGGCAGGTCTCTTTGAGTTTGAGGTCGGCCAGGGCTACATAGTGAAGCCCTGTCTTGAAAAAACAAAAAAGAAAACATTCATTCTAGTAAGGCCTAATAGCCCAAGTTGTGATGGTGTTGTTTTTTTCTTTTTCCTGTGCTTTTTGTGCCCTGTGTTTTTAGAAAGTCTAGTAGTTTAACTTAATAACTAATCAGAACTCATGTTTGTAATATTTGAGTCCATGATGAGAAAGCATCACCAATAGTAAAGGAGTATTGATGTCCTAAACTATTTTTTTTAAAACCTTAAAGTTCTGGAGCCTCAAAAATAAGAGATTGATACCTTAGTTCACTAATATTTAATTTAAGTTGATAATGTAATGATTAATGTCATTTTGGTATACTAAATTTTAGCATTGTGTTGTTTAAATAAAAATTTGAAATGTGGCTTCTATTTCATATTGTAAAGAAAGTATTAAGCCTTAACCTGTAAGTTAAACAAAATCATTAAACATTAAATAGAAGTGAGTGTTGTGCATAATTATCTGGGGAAAGTAAAAGGTAGAACTTGATATGTACAGAGCCGCCCCCTCCCCCAAGTGTGTCACTTTTGAGTAGGTTATAATTATTTTTGGCCCAGTGTGTTAAAAATGTTAATAGCTTATTTTACTTTGATCTTACCACTATGGTTTTGGTTTTTGTCCTGGGATTCTTAATTAGTTCTTACTGTAATAGCTCTAAAGGGTCATAGTAGAAACCACATTCTGCTTACTGGAGCATTTGGTAAGTGTCCACTAAAGTCAGTTGTATTCTACTGCATGTATAGTCTTGTTCAAAGAAAAGCATGAAGTTATTTAATTAAATAACTTTGATGCTGGTTTGCTGTTTGGTATGGTATATAACAAACAGCTCTTTCTTGTTCTCAGGGGGACCAGTGTCTGCCCAGTGAGTTACTACTATACCAAATAGAATTGTTTTGTTTTCAGCTGGAATCATGCCTTTAAGAATCAGATCACAACACTACAAGGCCAAGCAAAGAATCGAGCAAACCCAAATCGGAGTGAAGTTCAGGCAAACCTTTCTCTGTTCCTAGAGGCAGCTAGTGGCTTCTATACTCAGGTGAGTTCTGCCTTGTGTATGAATTCTCCTAGCTTTAGTGATACTCTGTTCTTTGTACATAACTTTTGTATATGTGAATACTTTAACTTCCTTATAAGATATCCAAAAGTTGATCACATATAGTTTCACATCATCTAGATGTCTGAAATTATTTGTACTACCTTTTTTAAAGATACAGACTTAAGTTTGGGAATGTAGTATTGAGGTCTTGGGTTCAAATCCCAGTATTGCCAGAGAGAGGGAAAAAGAAAGATACATGCTTAGGAAGGAGGCTTAATTATATGAATAAAAAGAGATATAATGAGAGCCAAACCTCAGGGAGGCATGGAAGTAGTCATATAATCAAACCAAGTGTAGTCATTATGAAAGTAGTAGCTACTTTGTGCTAGGTAAGCTGTTGCAGTGTTGGGTTAGAGAGATGGCACTGCCATTAAGAGCACTGGCCGCTCTTCCAGAGGTCCTGAGTTCAGTTCCCAGCAATCACATGGTGGCTCACAACCATCTATAACAGGACCTGAGATACCTCTTTGGCATGCAGTTATACATGCAGTGCACTCATATATAAAATAAAAATTTAAAAATCTTTGCAAAAAGTTGCAATGTCAAGTGAATTTTTGTACTGTGGTTTACATAGTAGAATTTATATGGATCATAAAATGATTTTAAATTACCTAGGAAATTGAATCATCTTTTTTTTATTCAGATTGAAAAATAAGCTATATTATTTTCACATATTTCCCTTTTTCTTAGTCACATCCTGATGCAGTTTACAAAGAAATAAATGTTCATGGACTTTTCTTTAAGCGTAATGATTTGGAAAAATTGCTATTTTGGACTGGAGAGATGGCTTGGTAGTTGAGAGCACTTGACTCTTACCCAGGACTGGAGTGCTCACTCACATAACAGCTCTCAACTCCCTGCAATTCGAGTCCCAGAGGTCCTTCTGATGTCCATGGACTTTTTACACATGTGTGGTATATATACGAATACTTGCACATCGAGTAAATAAATAGACATTCTTTCTCTTTTTCTTCATTCAATAAAATGGCTAAACCAAAATAAAGCCAATATATAGGTGTGGACAAGCAGCACAGAAAGAACTGGCAAAGATTTTTTTTCAGTGCATAGTCTTTAAAATCCTATCATTACAAGGGATGATAACCTAAGTTTGATCCCTGAAGCCCATGGGGTAGAACGAACTAACTCCTGCAAATTGTCCTGACTTCTGCCCATGTGCCATGTAAGAACGTGGCACCCCCCCCCCCTTACACACACACACACAAAATCAATTTTAAAATATTTTATTATCCATTTAATTACAAATAGATGAAATAGCAATTAAAATACACACAAGTGGTACATATACAGATACTTGAACATTGAATAATTATTTTTAATTTCATCTATTTGTAATTAAATGGATAATAAAATATTTTTAACTTGATTTGTTTTTTGTATGTGTTGGTTTTTTAAAACTGCTTTATCTGAAAATGCTTTGATAATGAGTATCAACCAATCAAAGATTAAATTTAACCCACATACAATTTGTAAGGTAGTCTCAGCAGCATGTGATACATAGATGCATATCTTCTATGTAAACTTTACTGTTAGAACATTCTGACTTTACTAAATTTTGCTTGTGTTTTTTCTTCAGTTATTACAGGAACTGTGTACGGTGTTTAATGTAGATTTGCCGTGCCGTGTGAAGTCTTCCCAATTGGGAATTATTAGCAATAAACAGACGCACACCAGCGCCATAGTGAAGCCACAGTCCAGCTCCTGTTCCTACATTTGCCAGCACTGCCTCGTCCACCTTGGAGACATTGGTGAGCCTTTGAAAATTATATTAATTAATGTATACATTAATAACACATTCATCCTTTTCTTTGGAATAGTCATAGGAAGAAGCCTGTTATGCATGTGTGGTTTAGATTGATAAACGAAGAAATTATAAAATCCCCTTTAAGAACTTACTTTTTTTCTACGTTTTGAGATTGGCAGAAGAATTTTGAAAAAAAAAAGTCACTAAAATTTAAATTCTTTTCAGATTTGATCCAGATATAGGCAAATAGTAAATGCTAAAAATGTAGTCAAAGGTAAATCATCAAAGTGATGCTGTATTTTCTAAATTAGAAACTTGAACTCCTTTGGAATAAAGTTTGTAAATTAACCTCTTTGAGAACTAGATTGTCTGTTATTTCTTCCTGCTGATGCACTGAAAGCTCATTTCATGTTGCTTCCTTTCAAAGGTTAAATTTGTATTTCCGTTACACATATATTTTATCTGGGGTTATTATTATATAACTTATCTTTCTGTTCATTGCTTTAAGGTGACCTAAAAAGGTTATAAAATAAATTAACTATAGGATTATGTTTTGTCCTGAATTAACAAGGAATGGAAACATTAGTATGTTTAAATTAGTAGATTTTAGATTTCTTAATGCCATAAATGAGTGACATTATGAGAGGTCACATCAAAGATATCAGTGAGCTCTGCAAGGAGATGCGGCAACAGTGTGTTTAGGATGGTTTTGCTTTAAATGACTTCTTTGCACACACCTTAATATTGCAGTAGATGAGAGGCATTTTTCAAAAATCACTCTATAAGATATTGAAGAAATATTTAATTTTCAGATCATATTGTATAGTGGTTTTTTTTTTGTTTTGTTTTGTTTTTAAGTGCCATATAACTCACCCCTTCTTGTGGGCCGGCTCCAGGTCACCAGCATAGTCCATAGTGGGAGCTGGTGATGCATGACACTGGAGGACCTGAAAATGGGGGCTAGGTAAGCTTTAAAATTGGTTACATGCTGAATGTCTCAAATAGAGAAGGCTGGATGGACACGTCACACATAATCCTATAGTTAATTTGTTTTAAATTTTTCTATCTTTAATGGCCTTTAAAGTAATTTTAATGTCTTTGTTATCTTGAGAATTTAAAGCTCTAGCTGTTTTGGACATGCCCTCCTGGTGGTTTTTGTGTATATTTTTGTATATCTATCTGGTTTTAAACTGAGTTTTCTTTTTCTTCTTAGCTCGATACAGAAACCAGACCAGCCAGGCAGAGTCCTACTATAGGCATGCAGCTCAGCTTGTCCCCTCCAATGGTGAGTGGGCCTGCCACTTTAAGGCTGACAATGTCACTTTGTTCTTTATAGCACTGTAACAGATAGGCTCTACTTTTGAAGTGTGTTGAAGCAGTAGAAGTTGAATTTCAAGATCATTGAGTTTCATTTCTTCCTTTGTCACTTTTATACTCCGAAAAATGAATTTCTCTTTAAGTTACTTTGTTAGAAAGCCAGTATAAGTGGAATTAATGTAATCTGATAATGTTTCTACAACTCTAGCATTCTTAATTGTCCAATAGAGTAATGATCTTTCAGGATAGCTATTTCTCCTTAGAAAACCTATCAGTCACCTAAAAGATAATATTTTTGATGGTTTCAAAATTGGCATTCTTGAATTAAAGAGCTTAATAGCAGATATGTAATGTTACAATTCATGCAAAACTATGTTGGAATTTCTTTAGATATTAGAAAATATCTCAAGTAGAGCGGATGATACACCTTACGAGCAGAGCTGAGTGGTTGTGATGAGTCCTCATCACCCGCAGTGCCAAGGAGATTTACTAGCTAACCCTTTCGGAATCCATGAGTGCTTATTGTATTGATCCTATTGTACAGGATTTGAAAGTCTAGTTTTGTAGCCCAATATGCCTTTGAACTCTGATCCTCCTGCCTGAACCATGAGTGTTTGGATTACAGTGTGTGCTACCATACTCAATATTTAATTGTGTGACTTTTTAGCCTGCCCATGATAGGGTGTGCCATCACTGATGTGTACAGTTTCACATTACAACCAACTGTAGTTGGTAGTCATGAGATCCGCCTTAAACAGTACTTTGCATTATTAATTCAAGGATTTGACTGAGCATTTCTATCTTGATAGCAGGATTGGTTCTTGATGACTTTAGAATCTTAACTTTCTCCTTTAGGTCAGCCTTACAATCAGTTGGCTATCTTAGCTTCTTCCAAAGGAGACCACCTGACCACAATTTTCTACTACTGCAGAAGCATTGCTGTGAAATTCCCTTTCCCAGCTGCCTCCACCAATCTACAGAAAGCACTTTCTAAAGCACTGGAAAGGTAGGGCTGACTTTTTTTCCAAGAGAATTTTGTGTAACCTAGAACCTTAATCTCTCAAATTTTGGTGTCCAGGAAAATACTGGCCAGGGATGTATTTATCTTTTATCTCTAAACCTGTAATCTAATACCAAAATTATTTTGTGTGCAGTTACTGATTTGTACCCAGCATGTGCTTTATTGCAGTTAAATGCAGACTCATCTAAGTTGTAAGCTATGAAGCTAGACTTAGGACAACCCTTTTCCTGTCTATTGGGTGCTCAAGTAGCTTGCAAGCTAAATCCAGTTGTACAGGTTTTGCTAATTGTGCTGTTTAAGATTCATGCAGGTTTTTCTTTCATTTCAGCCGGGATGAGTTGAAAACCAAGTGGGGTGTTTCTGACTTCATCAAGGCGTTTATTAAATTCCATGGCCATGTATACCTGAGTAAGAGTTTGGAAAAGTTGAGCCCTCTTCGAGAGAAGTTGGAAGAACAGTTTAAGGTTTGAGTTAAAAACAAAAAATGTTTGTCTTCTCTAAATCAGAAACCTTAAGATTTGGAGAGAATTAACTTAGACTTTTTGTCTTTTTGTGGTGTTGAGGATGGAGCTGGGGGCCTAGTATAAGCTTCTTAACAAATGCTTTCCCACTAAGATACACCCAGTTCCTGAGTTATGCTATCCATACTTGTTGTAGCAGCCTTCTCATTGACCCCCACCCCCACCAGCTGACAAAACAGGTCAAAGTGGAATGTATTAAGAAACAAGACAGTCTGATATACATTACTTTATTTTAAATGTATTTAAGAATCTTAAATATATTGAAATATTTGACTGTTCAGTATTAATGTTTAGGGCGCTGAAATTAGCAGTGAAACAGATACTCTGAATCTTGTATTTCTGGGTTACTCTTTTGTATTGAAAAGCTGTCTATAACTAAATGTTGAGAAGTCTTGCATTTAAGGGGTTTAAATACTTGGTTAGACTGGATGGTGCATACTTTTAATGTAATCCCAGGACTTGGGAGGCAGAGGCAAGTAAATCTTTATGAGTTTGAGGACAGCCTGATCTTCATGGCATCCAAGCCAGCCAGAGCTACATAGTGATAAACTGTCCAAAACAAATAGTAACACAAAACTTGCACAGTGAAAGCATAAATTAGCCAAATATAGTCAATGTAAAATAATTACAGATAACCGTTGTTTATAAGATATATTTGCAATAGAAATAGTGTTTTGCAAAATAATCTTTCCTGGTCTTCTTCTGTTTCCTTCCTTCCTGTTTGAACTTATGCCATGGTACTTATAGGGTTGCATGTGTAAAAGAAACATGGACTTGAATGTTCTCAACTACTTAGTCTAGAAAAGAATATTGGAATCTGAATAGACGTGTTGGATTAAAAGTATAACCAACATAAATGGTTAGCTTATTTAGAAGGATAGGTGTATAAATTGAAGGAAAAATTTTATTGGAAGATTCTTTCAGAGATTAGGAAATTAAGTAATGTTTGTCTTTGGAAAGGGACTTAACATTATCAACAAATACAGTGGAATGGCAGATCACATGGAGGTTGAGTTATCAAAAACAAATCTGAATTTTTCTCCAAAGTAATGTAGAAGACTTTGCTTATATAACTCACAGTGGCTATTTTAGACTCTGCCTCTCTCGACAGATGGATGGATGGGGGGTGGGGGTCTCAGAATTCAGTAAAGGCGACGGACATGTTGGATGCAGCAGGAACCCCAGGCAGTGGTCTGCAACTGCAGGAATGATCTTGTCAGGATCGTCAGTTCTGGTTTTATTATTTGAGGTTTTGGTTTTGTTTAGATATGGTCTCACTGTAGCCTCTGTTGACCTCAAAATTGCTGCAGTCATTACAATCATGCCAAACTTTTCTGTCTCAACTTCCCAAGTACTGAGATTATAGGTATAAGCTACTACATCTGGTGTATTGTCAGTTCTTACCAGAAGAGTAGTAAGAAAATATCCATCCTAGTTGCTGTCAACTTTATTAGGAACTTTGTTTCCCATCACAGATGTTAAAACAGAAGTATAACTACATTGAGACCACCAGCTATGAGAATCTGTGTGGTAATGTTCTATACTGCTTAGCAGGTTACTCTAAACAAAATTGTTACTAGGTAAATAAAACTTGGTAAAAATCATATAAGTGAAAAGTTCAGGACAAAGCTTGTTACACTTCATATATCAAGGGTTAAAGGAATACTTGAATCTTGTTTTTGGAATTCTTTCACTGCATAGATCTACTTTCAATCATTTGTCCTTTTAAAACTTGTTTTGTTTTGGTTTTTTGAGACAAGGTTTCTCTGTGTAGCTTTGGAGCCTATCTGGGAACTCACTTTGTAGATGAAGCTGGCCTCGAACTCAGAGATCCGCCTGCCTCTGTCTCCCAGTGCTGGGTTTATAGTAGTGCGCTACCACTACCCAACTAAAATAAAACATTTTATTCAATATGTATGTCTCTTACAAGGCAACCTCTAATGGATTAAGATATCTAAATATATGTATAACTCCAAGCATTGTCATTATCTTACCAGATCATATTAAAAGTATATATTGTTTCCAGAGCTAGAGAGATTACTCAGCAATTAGGAATGCTGGTTGCTCTTCCAGAAAGCCCAAGTTCTGTCCCTAGTACCCACATGGGAGCTCACACTTATCCATAACTCCACTTGCAGGGAATCCAACACTATCTTTTGGTCTCTTCAGGTACCAGGCATGCATATGGTGCACAGGCTAATACTAATATTGGTGTTTATGAAAACAATATTCATAAAATAAAAGTTGATAAATCTTTTTCAATATGTGGACAGTTTCTTAGGGCAAAAATGTTTGTTTGGTAGTGCCTAAATTTTTTTAGAGAAGAGCTTTCTTTATAGACATTAGATAGTTATAAAATACTGGAATTAAGAGTGGGATAGTTTACTCGTCCAGTAATCCTATTACACTACTCTGTTTCTAAATGTAGTTAATTACAATTCTTGTGGTAAGACACATCCTGCTCTTGATAATATATGCAGTATTTTTGTCTCCTGTTACAGAAGCTGCTGTTCCAAAAAGCTTTCAACTCTCAGCAGTTAGTTCATGTCACTGTCATTAACCTGTTTCAACTTCATCATCTTCGTGACTTTAGCAATGAAACAGAGCAGCACAGTTACAGCCAAGATGAACAGCTGTGCTGGACCCAGTTGCTGGCCCTCTTTAGTGAGTATTACACCATTTAACTTTGAAAGATGCAGTTTGCATAATTAGACATTGTTATAGATACAGCCAGATGAATCCTGTATTCTCTTTGAGTTTTTTTGTTGTTTGGTTGGTTGGTTTGTTTTTGTTTGTTTGGTTGGTTAGTTGAAATTTTTTTTTTTAATGTTTGTTTGTTTTTGAGACGGGGTTTCTCTGTGTAACAGGCATGGCTGTCCTAGAACTCACTCTGTAGACCAGGCTGAACTCTTAGAGATTTGCCTGACTCTATCTACCTCCAAAGTGCTGGGATTAAAGGTGTGCACCACCACCACCACTTGTCAAGTCCTATATTTCTTGCTGTTGGATCAGGAGACTTAAACATCAAATTCTGTCCTTTTGTCTGCTTATATAATATTAATACTCATCTGCTTTATATAATATTTGAACAGAGAAAAGAAAATGTTTCCTCTCAGCGTTTCTGGTTTTTGATATAATCTTACTGTGTATTCCCAGGCTGACCTTAAACTCATGGTCCTCCTATTTTTAGCCTCAAGTATTGGGAATATAACTGTGGGCTACCATGCCTAGCTGAAAATGTATTTAGAAAGAAACTAAGATGCATGAGTATTTAATATAGCAGAAAGCTCATAGTTGATATTTTGAACTGGTGTGCTGTTTAAAATCTGAATCTTTTTCTCTACCCTACTCTCCAAGTGTCTTTTCTTGGCATCCTGTGCAAATGTCCTCTCCAGAACGATTCTCAGGAGTCCTACAATGCCTATCCCCTTCCTGCAGTCAAGGTCTCCATGGACTGGCTAAGACTCCGACCTCGAATCTTTCAGGAAGCAGTGGTGGATGAAAGGCAGTAGTAAGTGTTACGAAGTTCTTAAGGTGGTTTCATTTGATGTTCATAGACATAGGAGAACTGCCTTCTAAAACAATCTTGAACAAATGAACTGTGGTTTCTGCCTACTCTAAGGAAATTGAAATGAGAACTTTTATGCATGCTTTCATTTATTTTTAAATTCTTCATGTGAGACACACAAGTCTTAGATAGAAATTTGTGACTCCTGTATTCCCCCGTTTGTTTGTTTTTTTTTTTTTTTGTTTGTTTGTTTTTTTTTTTTTTTTTTTTTTTTTTGGTTTTTNTTTTTTTTTTTTTTTTTTTTTTTTTTGGTTTTTCGAGACAGGGTTTCTCTGTGGTTTTGGAGCCTGTCCTGGAACTAGCTCTTGTAGACCAGGCTGCCGTTGCTATATTATGAAGAGGTATTTTTTACATTTCAGAATGAACTTGGCATAAAATCTTTTGGGGTTTTTTGTTTTTTTGTTTTTTTTTGAGACAGGGTTTCTCTGTAGCTTTGGAGCCTGTCCTGAACCCACTCTGTAGACCAGGCTGGCCTCAAACTCACAGAGATCTGCCAGCCTTTACCTCCCGAGTGCTGGGATTAAAGGTCTGTGCCACCACTACCCGGCAACATTTGAGACAGTTCTTAAATACTTTTTATTTTAGTGATGAATGACATTTTCAGTGTACTTTTGATTGTAGAAATAATGTTTCAAAAAGATTTTGCAGTGGTAGAAGGTTCCTCTCCTGCATGTCTTAGTTGTTTAAGTTTCTGAATTTACTGCTTTAGCCTGGCGTGAACACAGAAGTGACTTATTAATAAATGATGGGATCTCATTAAGACCCCTGATCTCATTAGTTCCAAATTTTTTCTCTTATACATAAGTGCCTTCCTTTTTTATATTGTCATGAATGGGATACATAGTTTGCTTTTGATATTAATGTAGATTTTGTAGTACAGGTTTTTAGATACTGCTATTTTTGACATAAAATTTTTGTTTATGTGAACTCTAAAACTTCGGTTTTGTTTAATAAATTAGGCCAGGAACTCCAAATAGATGTCATTTTTATAATTTATTAATGTTCTGGTTTCTCATATAAAAATAAGATACAAATTTTTTTAATTTGCAGCATTTGGCCCTGGCTAATTTCTCTTCTAAATAGTTTCCATCCCCATGAAGATGATCTTTCAAGTACTAATGGTAAGAGCTGCCTAAATTGTGTACTGTTTCTGTGGTTCTCCAGCACACAGGGTAGGTTGAAAGCCAGGGAGCCTGGGCTTTTGGTGAAGTATGTTTATTTTACTTGAATTCAGTGTTTCAAAGAGGCTCTGACTTCTGGTACTGATGAAGTAGGTAGATGTGGATAATTCTCCTGAACTCCCTCAGCATATAGCTTCTCTTATAGGCCTTACAGTAGGCATTCATGACGTTTAAGTTCTATCCTTTTCTTCCCCATCTCTATCATTGCAAGTTGTCCTGGGTTTTTCTTTGTTTGTTTTAAGATTTATATATTTTACATGTATGAGTATTTTGCCTGCATATATATATTCATGCCATGTATTGCCTGGTGCCTGCAGCAGTCAGCAGAAGGGTTTGGATTCCTTGAAATTAGAGTTTGCAGACCTAGAACCCACATGAATAATTCCTAGCATACCTGAAATCCCAGAACCAGCAAGCCAAAAACAAGAAGATTCCTAGGGCTCCAAGTTTTGGAATTCTGTTAGCCATAGGAATAAGACTTGCTAGCCAGTCTAACCTAATTGATGAGCTCCAGCCCAATAAGAGACCCTTTCTCAGAAGATGTGGGCAGCATTCCTGAGGGTGACACCTGAGGTTGTCCTCTGGCCTCCACTGATAACACAAATATACGTGTGCACATGCATGTACTTTCATAGTTTAAATTTTCCTCATACATAGTGCTGCACTGAGCAACATAGAGCTTCACTCTCTTCTCTATTAGTAATTTGCATTGAGTCACCTGGATTTTTTTTAGGCTATTTCTTATAAGCTCTCAATGACATTAGTAATGTCACTGGATAACTGGTCATGTTATAGCCTGAACATTGGGTTAGTAGATCTGATCTGAAGCTCTGTATTCTAATTTTGGCTTTTTTAAGCTTTTGGCTTATTAATTTGTCTTTTCCCTTCCTCTCTCCCTCTCTCCCTCCCTCCAAGACAGTGTTTCTCTGTGTAGCCCTGAGTGACCTGAAACTCGCTCTATAGACCATACTGGCCTCAAACTCGGAGATCTATCTGCCTCTGCCTCCTGAGTGCTGAGATTAAAGGCGTGCACTACCACATCCAACTGAGTCCAAGACAAGTGACCTAGATTGGGTACCAGAAAGCATAAAGACAGGAAAGTACTAGATAAAAGTTGTCCTCGGAGCTGGGCATCAGCTCTATTTCCTGAGACAGCTGATGAGGAAGTTCTTTGTGCCAGCTCCTTGAGTGTTTCCTATTTGAATTTTAGGGGATTATCTAGGTACCAAAGCTGTCATGCAGGCTTTTGTTGGATGACTTGTCCTTAGCAGAGTGTGACGTACGAAAGCAGAGAATGGACATCACACATTCTTTTGATATCTTTTTTTATTCACTATTTTCATATTGTAAATATTACTCTTCCAAATAATGGGATTTTAATTGAAATGTTTACAAATTTTGTTGTCTTCCTTTCTTTAGCCACACCTCTTCCAGAAGAGTTTGAATTACAAGGATTCTTGGCTTTAAGACCTTCTTTCAGGTAACTAGCTGTGAAGTTGTTGCAGTGTTAAAATTTGTAGGAATCTGGCCTATGTGGTGAACCTTTGATTTGACCTTTCCTAGTGTGTTGTTGCTTCTTTTTAACATTTATTGGGTTGGGGGGGTCTTGGACCATGGCATGCATGCACACACCCTCTACTGTATGTTTTTTACACACGTGCACACACACAGATTTTAAATCAGTGTGAAGTGTTTTTAAAAAAATACAGAACAAAAGAATGGAACAGAAAATTGCTTTACCTGGTGATACTTAAATTCTGTTTTTTAAACTTACCTTAAGATTAAAAGATGTCTGAAAGATGAAGCTTTCTGTTATTCATTCATTCTTGTATTGTGAGACAGGGTCCCACAGTGAAGCCCCAACTGGCCTAGAACTCACTCTGTAGACCAGGCTGGCCTCAGATTCACAGAGTTCTACCTGCCTGTGCTTACTGAGTGCTGGGTATAGGTGTATGCCACCAGACCAAACTATTTTATTTTTGAGGCACTCTCCATAGTCGTTGCTGGGCAGAAACTTCTACATATGCTGCCTCTGCCTGCCATATGCCAGTATTATAGTCATGTGCTGCACCAAGCCATTCTCAGCAAAGACTGCATTTTAACTAAAAGTTAATACTTTGCTTTCTTTTTTCCAAATTAGTAATAGTGATAGGACAGTGTGGGCATGGCTGTAAGAACGCTTATGCAAGCATTAGAGTGAATCCCAGCATCCATATGAAGTCAAGCATGACTGAATGTACCTGTAACCCCAGTGTGCAACTGGAAACAAAATAAATAAAAATGTCAAACTCAAGTTCAGTGAGAGACCATCTCAAGGGAATAAGGCCAAGAGCAATAGGAAAAGATACCTGTAGTTGTTCTCTGTGTGTGCGCGTTATCTCCTTCTGCATTAAACACAACAATTTTACAAGAACATTCTAAAAAAGGAACTCCATTCTTCTTTCACTTTGCTTTTTTATTCTTTGTATAGTTTTATTATAAGGCTTATCGGGTTTAATCCTGAAGGTAGGGACTTTTCTCACCTTGTGTGCCCTTCAGCTGTTAGCTTTCTTCATGGCTTTGGATTTGGAGATATGCATGGCTTTACTTTGTAGCCCAGCTGTCTTCAAACCTGCTGTCCTCCTTCTTCCATCTCCCAAATGCCAAAATTCTAGGCATGCACCATCACCCCTGACATAAATAATTCTTTTTCTTTTAAAATTATTGACAAGAGATTTTAGGAACTCTTTTTTTTTTCACATCGGTTTAGACATCTGTCTATATAATTTATGACATTTGCACATTTTCCTGATTTAGGAAATTTTTCAATGTAGAAAGTGTTCTGCTTGCATGTATGCCTGCAGGCTAGAAGAGGGCACCAGATCCCATTATAGGTGGTTGTGAGCCACCATGTGGTGGCTGGGAATTGAACTCAGGACCTCTGGAAGAGCAGCCAGTGCTCTTCACCTCTGAGCCATCTCTCCAGCCCTGAGTAGAAGTCTTAAAGTACACTGACACTGTTTTTAGCAGGCATCGCAGGAGTAGAATAAAGGGGTAAGAGCAGTTCTTTGTTCTTGCACAGGATCCAGGTTTGATTCCTACAAGGTACCTACAAGGCAACTGAAAACCACTTAACACTCCTCTAGTCCTAGGGATCTGCTCTCTTCTGATCTCTGGGAATATCTGGCATACGTGTGGTACATACATGGAAGCAAACACTCACACACATAAAAAATAATCAATGTGCTTCAGAGACCTTTAACATTATGATTATTTTTTAGTCAAATTATTTAGAAAACAGGTATTTATAAAATTGCTTGGTCTTCATACAGTGATAGAACATTTGCCTGGCATGGACAAGGACCTGGGTTTAATCTTAGGACCCAATTCAAGTAACAAAAAAAATAGTTTATTCTTACAATAAAAGAATCATTAATAAGAAAAACAGATTATTTTCGTTTCTTACCTAGAAAGTAAAAATATTACATTAATATAATAAACTTTGATATTTGGTTTTTGCTTTGTTTTTTGTATTTGAAATCTTTGGAAGTATAAATTCAAGCAAACACCACTGATTATTTGCTGTCTATGTCCTGTGTGAGAAACATCTTGAAGTTTTTGCATTTGGTTGTCTTGAAAATTTCTTAAGTACTTAATCTTCTTAAATGTACTCTGTCCTTTCTAGGAACTTGGATTTTTCCAAAGGCCATCAGGGTATTACAGGAGACAAAGAGGGTCAACAGAGACGAATACGACAGCAGCGTTTGATCTCCATAGGGAAATGGATTGCTGACAATCAGCCACGGTATACCCATGGCTTTCTCCTACATTCCTTTTTTATCGCTTTGTCAGCACAGACAGACATGTGCCTCATGTATATTTTCAACTTTGGTGTAAATATTATTGATGATGAACTAAGTCGATATTTGTAGTGTATCACCTTGGTGATCATAGTTTATTTAAATGTGTCTCTTCTTACTGTTACACTACCTGTTATCTGTGATAAGAAGAATTAGTCTTGTCTTATTTATTGTGTGCTGTTCCAGCTTACAGGCCATCTGTATCATTTGAATTTAATTGGACAGTCTCAGGTTCAGTGAGTGGTTTGTATGGCAAGGATGTGCTGATGGGTTTCAATCAGGGCAGAGCAGGGGATACTAGTTAGAGGAGACAAAGCAGAAGGTGGTGGCTGGTGTAGGGAAAGAATACAAGTTTCCGAGTTAGGTTCAAGTTATTTCTAGGTCTGTTCTTTTCTAGGTCTGTGTTTCTTGCATCTTCCTGGTGGATTGTGTGCTTTTCAGAGACAGTTACTATTATTTCATGCTTGTATTCAAATTTCTGCTATGCTCGGGACATTTGGGTGCTTGCATGCTTAAATAACTAAACTTACCATTTCTGAGCTTCAGCTTCCCTTTCTTTAAAATAAGTTTCTATAACTACCTTATAGGCTATGTCAAGGACTTAGACTAGTATCATAAGTCTCTGTAAATATAACCAGTTATTAGAAACACAGGCGGGGCAGGAGAATAATGAATGGAGTGTGGTGATGTGAAATGTACTCATTAGAGTTTATGCTGTCTGGATCTGTATTGTTCTCTTAACATCACATCTTTTTTTTTTTTTTTTTTTTTTTTTTTGGCCTAAAAATATATTCACCTGTTGAAGTCAGTTTGTTTTTCATAATAAATCCATATTCTTGCTTTTTTTAGGTTGATTCAGTGTGAAAATGAGGTAGGGAAATTGTTATTTATCACAGAAATTCCAGAATTAATATTAGAAGACCCCAGTGAAACCAAAGAGAACCTCATCCTACAAGAAACATCTGTGATAGAGTCACTAGCTACTGATGGAAGCCCGGGACTGAAGTCAGTGCTGTCTACAGGCCGAAATCCAAGCAACAACTGTGACCCAGGAGAAAAACCAGTGGTCACCTTCAAAGAGAATGTTAAACCACGAGAAGTGAACAGAGACCAAGGAAGAAGCTTTCCTCCCAAAGAGGTGAGCAGGGACTGTAGCAAAGGAGTAACTGTAACTAAGGATGATGGAAAGGATAGCAGCAAGAGGAGAGCTGAGACCAGGAGATGCACCTTAGGAAAGTTACAGGAGACAGGAAAGCAGAGTGTGCCAGTGCAGGGAAGCTGTATGTGAGCTATAAAGCAGGTAGAGGAAGGCTCATACAAAAGGCAAGGTTTCTCGTTTGTTCATAAAGATAGGTACATTGGCCATTCTGAAGTTTAAGTGCATTCTTTGACTGCATAGGAAGGTATGTAAAGAGCTGTGGTAGATGGCTAGTTTATCAATTTGAGGGAGTTCTCTTTAAGTGCTCCACACAGATTGTATTTTTCTTTGGAAAGTATAATTATCACTTACTAATCGTTCAGAAGAGTTTTCAGGTTTCATAGCATCCAGTAGAATCAGAGGTTTATTACAGCTTTATAGCTTCTGTTGTCTTTTTTTCCTTAGAGTCACTATATAAATACCTTTAAACCCAGCACAGAGGCAGGTGGTTCTTTGAGGTAAAGACCAGCCTGATCAGAAGAGTAAGTTCCTGGCTAGCCAGGGCTACATAGTGAATCTATATAAAAATAAATAAATAAAAGAATAACTGTACAAAGTAAAGCTTTTTTGTAAAACACTGAAGCACCTTTTCTTGGCGTTATACCTGTTCCAGCCAGTGGTGTTGTGTGGAGTAATATCAAGTCTTGCTGAGAAAAACCATTTCCCAGCTATTCTGTAGCCTTTTTTTTAATGCTTTTCCAAAGAGATACCAGTAATTTTATATAGTGTAAAAGGATCTTGGCTGTTTTATTAATACCATTAATGTTTTGGTGACTACTTAAATAGCTATGTGACTTGATAGTTCATTGTGGGAAATGTAGATGGCTCTTGTAAGTGAGGATACCTACCTCCAGTTTACTGCCTAATAGAAGGGGGACAAGTAAAATGTGGTTCCCTTCTTTTTTAGTGTTTATGTGAGCACACTTTGTATGGTTTGTATGTTTGCTGGTACACACGTGTGTACATATCTGAAGGTGAGAGAACAACCGCAGTATCAGCCTCAGGAAGGCCATCTGTTTTCTTTGAGACAGTCTCTTGTTGACCTAATTCTCACCAGTTAGGCTAGACTAACTAGCAAGTGAGCCTTCTCCCTGATGAGATTCTGAGTGCACGCCACCACGCCTGGCATGTTTATGTGGGTTTGGAGGTTGAATTCTAGTTCACATGTTTGCAGGCATTCTACTGACGAAGCTATCTTCCAAGTCACATACATGTAGGGAATAACCTGAACAGAGGGTACAAGGGAAAGGCAAAGAAATAACAAAGCAAAATCCCATCTGTTGAAGAGGGGCAGCTTGTTGGTTCCTGGTCGCTTAGCCCTAAAATAATCACATAGAAACTATTATTTAAATCACAGTTTGGCCCATTAGCTCTAACTTTTTATTGGCTAACCCTTACATATTAACCCATCTCCATTAATCTGTATATTACCACAAGGTCGTTTTAGCACATCTGTCTCCACAGCAACTCCATGGCTTCTCCTTTACTCCGCTTCCTTTCTCCTAGCATTCAGCTTAGTTTTCCCTCCTAGCTCTGTTCTACCTTATCAGGCCAAGCCAGTTTCTTTATTCATTAACCAGTAAAAGCAACACATAGACAGAAGGACTTCCCACACCACCCATCAAGTTAACTAGACTTATGTTTGGGGACTAAGTCCAGCATATTCTATATGTCTTCTGTAGTGGCCTCCCAGTAAGAGCCATGCTGATAATAAAATCTCCTTTTCTGTCCTCTAATCATTTCAAGTCTACTAATAGATAACAAAGTAAGTCTGGCATATAGGCATGGCAGTGCCTGCCTGTAATCCCAGCACTTAGAAGATAGGCAGGAGGATTGCTACAAGTATGAGGCCAGCCTGGGTTACATAGCAACTTCTAAGCTAGCCAAGGCTTAGCAGACCTGTTTCAACAATACAAATAAGAACAAAAATTTGGCACACAATTCACATGACATAATATCACCAGCTCTTTTTCGATTAACTACTGTATTTTTCTTTCCCTTTCCCTTCCCATCCTTTCCTTTCTCCCATCTTTCCTTTCCCCTTTCCTTTCCCTTCTCTTTCCCTTTTTGTTTTTTTCAAGACAGGGTTTCTCTGTATAGCCCTGGCTGTCCTAGAACTCTGTAGACTAGGCTCAAATTCACAGAGATCCGCCTGCCTCTGCCTCCGCCTCCCAAGTGCTAGGATTGGATTAAAGGCATGCGCCACCACCACTGCCTGGCCACTGCTGTCTATTTTCTTGCCTTTTGCTCAACCTTGAACACTGCACATGGCGTTTCTTTATTGGCTTGATGTTTAGAACTTTGGGCCTGTTTGTTGCTGCTGGAAGTATTTTCACACATTTAAAGAGCCTTGAGCAAGTGCTCCCTAGTTGAAATTAAACTGAGAGCCATTATATGTCACCTGTAAAATAATAGTTTTCATTAAATCATAATTCAGCATGAAGAGACCCTTACCAAATGGCTGAAGATCTTAGGCAAGGCTTTAGCCTGTTGACATGAGGTATCTTATACAACAAATGGTTTGTATTTTCCTTTTTCTTATTTAGTTTTTCTGTGGTTATGTGAAAGCAAAATAACCCTACTAGTAAATCTAAGCCTTTGTTTCTTTAACTGGTAATTTATCTTGACTTTCCTGTATTTAACTTAAATGACTTTAAGTTTCTTCAGCATACTTTGGACATAATGAGATTTTAAATTTTTTTCTTAGAGTGGGTGGTTTTTCCTAATACATGGGGACCAGGTTTTTATAGTTAGTTTTGCTTCTGTTGATTATAGGTAAAATCCCAGACGGAACTAAGAAAGACTCCAGTGTCTGAAGCCAGGAAAACACCTGTCACTCAAACTCCAAGTCAAGCGAATAATTCTCAGTTCATCCCCATTCATCACCCCGGAGCTTTCCCTCCTCTTCCCAGCCGACCAGGTAGGTACACATTCTCTACCTAATTCAGCTGTATGGAGTTTCTGTTCAGTTCTTGGATGCTTTGTATCGTTAGTGTCATGTTACTAAGCTATAATGTATAGGAGAAAGAAGTTTAAGTTCTCTAATACTTAGAGGATTCTTGTTGAGCCAAATTTTTTTATAGTTTACATATAAGTACTGGTTAGTTACCATGAAGGAATTGTTATCATTAAACATGAGAAGCATCTTTAGGAGAGTCTGATTAATGTATAAAGGAAAAGTTATAGTCTGTATTTCTTAATTTGAGTTTAAACCATGTGTGGTTGACTGTTGCTTTTATAATGTGTTAGAAACACTCTCCCCTCAAATTTTGTCCCTTTCTTTTGTTAAGTTTCTTAGAACTAAAGCTGTGTTCTTCTGTTTTGAAGGGTTCCCGCCCCCAACATATGTTATCCCCCCTCCTGTGGCATTCTCTATGGGCTCAGGTTACACCTTCCCAGCTGGTGTTTCTGTCCCAGGAACCTTTCTTCAGTCTACAGCTCACTCTCCAGCAGGAAACCAGGTGCAAGCTGGGAAACAGTCCCACATTCCTTACAGCCAGCAACGGCCCTCTGGACCAGGGCCAATGAACCAGGGACCTCAACAATCACAGCCACCTTCCCAGACACCCCTTACATCTTTACCAGCTCAGCCAACAGCACAGTCTACAAGCCAGTTGCAGGTTCAAGCTCTAGCTCAGCAACAGCAATCCCCTACAAAAGTCATACCAGCTTTGGGGAAAAGCCCACCTCATCACTCTGGATTCCAGCAGGTAGGCAACAGTTGTGCGTATAGCCAGCTAGAATAGTGAGAAATGCCGAGAGAATTCAGTGTTTGGCCATTAATAAATACTAGTTAAATTTTAAGGTTGTTCCTGCTTAGGCTTACCGTGATTGTGTGAATACAAGAGTATTCTTTGTGTTGTTAGGAAGTTTGAACATTTGCCTTCTTGCTTTATTTTAAAGGGTGGTGTGTTAGATCTTCACTATCATTTTTCCATGCTACTTAATTGTTCATTCTATTAAAGATTTTCTGTAAATCTTATTTTCATAATGTGAATGTGTGAGTGTATAGGATGTAGGTGGATGCGTATGCATGAGTGTCTGTGGTGGAGGACAGCCGTAGTGTCAACCTTAAAAATGCCCTTCACGTCCTTTGACACGGGGTCTCTCACTGACTGGAGCTTACCAATTAGGATAGTCTAGCTGGCCCTAGGTCCTCCTGTCTCCACCTCTCTAGCACAGAGATTGTAAGCTTGTGCCATCATGACCAGCATTTTTGCATGGGTTCTGGGTACAGAACTTAGGTTCTTGCTTTACCAGCTTTCATCCTCCCCATCCCCTGTGCCAAAATATTTCTTACTTGAACATAAATAACAGAATTGAAATAGAATTGTTATCTTGAAGAGGTGGTGAGATGAATGTGATGCCAGTCTTAAATGGTATGTCCTTACAACACAAGAAACAGAAGGGTGAAGCACATTCTGTTTCACATACACATTCATTGAACTTCTTAAATAATTGAACTGAATAAAGATGGAAATTCAAGGTCCTTCTCAGAATTGCTGAGTGTTGAAAAATCTTAAGGCCTAAGGAAACTGGTTTTTTTTTCTAGAGTCTTAGTTATAAAATATCATAGACTTACTCTCTGAATCCTGAGTATTGTCTATCAGTAAGATTGCAGTTTATCTTCGACTTGTTGACAGCCATCTCTTTTTTCAGTATCAACAGGCAGATGCCTCCAAACAGCTGTGGAATCCCCCTCAGGTTCAAGGCCCACTAGGGAAAATTATGCCTGTGAAACAGCCCTACTACCTTCAGACCCAAGACCCTATAAAACTGTTTGAGCCGTCATTGCAACCTCCTGTAATACAGCAGCAGCCTCTAGAGAAAAAAATGAAGCCTTTCCCCATGGAGCCATATAACCACAATCCCTCAGAAGTCAAGGTCCCAGAGTTCTACTGGGATTCTTCCTACAGCATGGCTGATAACAGAGCAGTAATGGCACAGCAACCAAATATGGACCGCAGAAGCAAACGGTCCCCAGGAGTCTTCCGTCCAGAGCAGGACCCTGTGCCCAGGATGCCATTTGAGGTGTGTGTTCCTTCCTATCACCATGTTCCATGAAGATGGGCCTAGGGTTGCAGAGCTTTAGGATTTCTCAAGTTGATTCACTGAAGTTTATCAAAAATGGGCATTGTAAAGGACTTGGCCTCTTCAGAGTCATACATGTTTAATTTGGGGAACTGAAGAGTTCAATAGTTGATTAATGAACTGTACTGGTGTGACAAAAATAATTTAATGGCATCATGATAGATAATTCTCAGAAGAGCTCCTTACTTAGGTTGAGTTGTCTAAGTTTAAAAATAGGTTTCATGGATATTTAAACAAATTGCTTTCTTAAGTGGAACAAAGTCAGTTATCTCCTTGCTCTTGTTATTCAAGAGAAGCAGGTGTATAACTTTGAAAGAGCTGCTTTCTGTGTCAACGTTACTCATAGCTGCCTTAACCTATGTCCTACTCTAGTCATAGCTTACTCTTCTAGGACTCGGTCTTCTCTGTTGGCTGTGTCACTTTGCGTTTGTGTTTCAGCTTTTTGGTCTGTATGCTACATCACAAGTAATTACGCCTCTACTCTTGGCTTTAGTTGTATTGTCCAACTAATCATGCTACTATTCTTATGTGCTTTTGTCCCTGATTGCATCTCACGGTGATCCTTTCTGTCACTAGGATCCCAAGAGCTCCCCTCTGCTTCCTCCGGACCTGTTAAAGAGTCTGGCTGCCTTGGAGGAAGAGGAAGAGCTGATCTTTTCTAACCCTCCTGATCTTTACCCAGCTCTGCTGGGTCCTCTCGCCTCTCTTCCTGGACGAAGCCTCTTTGTATGTATTTGACATAACTCTGCTGCTTTCTCTAACAGCTTCTTTTCTGAGGCTTTTATAATACTTAATGTAGGTGAGCTCTTCTTTTCTGGGGCTTTCCTCTTTATGGGAATATAAAGTATATTTCTGTATTGCCTGAAACTAACCTGATAATGTAGTAGCAATGGTGTACTGACTCTAGTTCCCCCAGATTATAGTCATAGCCCAGATATGGGTTAGCCAGAAAACATCTTGCACTGGTCTGCATATGCTCTGTGTGATGCTGGCCAGTTAACTCCTTTTTTTAGGTAATATGTATACCCGAACTCACAAGTCAAGTGTATTCTAAATATTAAAGGAAATACCTTCCACGTTTTACAACTGATTGATGGCTCTTTCTTGCTCAACTCACTGAACCATAAAAGAGCACTAATCTGAATTCAAAGTTGGAATCATAAAACAGAATGGGTAAAAATGAAACTCTCTGGGAACAGTTAGAGTACTATAAATGAGTGACTTAGAATGCAAATGATTAGAATAATATAGAATAAAATGTAAGAATTGGTTACTGATACCTGTTTTAAAACAGTCTTCTAGAACTCAGCCTGCGGAGTGTCATTCTTTATGCTCACTAGTATTTACATCATATTTTAATTGAGGGTGTGGGGTATAAATAATGGAAGGAAGGTATATACATCATGAAATCCCTTCGCTACATCTTAATACAACATAAAATGATTTTGAACTTTTTTCTCTAACTTTTTCTTTCCCATAAATAGACAGCAATAAAATACGTAGAGAATTGAATTGTATTAATCATAGAATCAGGAGAAATAAAAATAGCTTTATGATAGTTTCTCCCTGCCCTCCCTGGGGATAGAGCGTAGGAGCTTCAGCGGCTCGGCTGCTGCGCTGTTGCCTCACACGTGTGCCTGTCTTGTACCTTTCTGCTGGTGTTTGAGACTGCAGGTGGTGCCTGTGTCCACTGTTCTTGTCTGTGAACTCTTCTTACTTATTCCTGCCCATTTGGTTGGAAATAGAGCTGATGCTAGAACAAGTGGGGCCTTGAAATGTTTCTCCTTTTTTGCCTGTTTTAAAAAAAAAAAAAAAGGAAAACAAGAGCCCTTCTGGTTCTTAACATAGTTGATAATGTAATATTTGTGTAGTAACGTGATATGTAAAATGCTTTACATGTAATGGGTATTGAGCACATTATTAAACAACTATCTAATGATAGCATGCATTTAGAGAAACCAGCTTTCTCGCCCCTACTCCAGTAACTTCCTTAGGGCCACTAAATAGAATCTCAACTTAGTAGTTTAACGTATGTCACAAGTATATCTGCTTTAGGAAGCATGAAAACAAAACCAGCTATCAAAATGGTTTTAAATGGCTTTTTTTATAAATTCATTATTATTATTCTTAACATTTTAGGGAGTAAAACGTGCCAGGATAATTTATCATCTTTTGCTAAGGGAATTCCTGAGGGTCATACCTCAGGCTCTCCTGGTTTCTGCCTGCATCTCTGCACTGGACCAGATAAACCTAAGAAAGAAGGTTCTACCTCACCTGTGGCAACCGGCTCCTAGCTGGTGCTATGATACTGACAGATAGGAATTTAACCTTTCCCGAGTCTTACACTGTACACACGGGACTGATAGTGGTGATCTTTTGCTTTGATAATCCGTTTACTTTAAAATAGAAAGAATCACTCTTTGTTTTGGTTTTTTCTGGGACTAAAGAAATCCTTATTGGAGAAGCCTTCAGAACTCATGTCACATTCATCTTCTTTCTTGTCCCTCACTGGATTCTCTGTCAATCAGGTAAGTAAAATTAAGAATCTTGCTTAGTGTTTTTAGTATAGATTATTTTCTTCTTTTCAGTGTAGTATTATTTTTTGAGTCTTAATTTTACCTCCTTTGTCTGATTGGGATAGACGGATGGCCTATAGATCATGAATTTGAGCCTTTTAAGTTTCTTATGCTAAATTTCTTAGAGCTTAGTCGTTCAGTCAAATAAATAACCCAGTTTTTTTTTTGCCTCAGATAGTTTACATGGAAAGCAAAATACAGAATGAAAGAAAGGTAAAGAGGAAGACAAAAGTGAAAGAAGTTAGTCTTGGGAGTTTGTCTTACTAAGAAAGCTTTAGGTCTGCTGAGCATCCGTAGATGTGATGCTGCCTTTCTTCCTCTCTTTCTGGACTGTTAACTTACATCTTTCAGGAACGATATCCAAACAGCAGTATGTTCAATGAAGTGTATGGGAAAAACCTGACAACCAGCTCCAAGGCAGAACTGAACCCCTCAGTTGCCTCCCAAGAAACATCATTGTACTCCCTTTTTGAAGGGACCCCTTGGTCTCCATCACTTCCCGCCAGTTCAGGTATCAACTAGTCCTTAAATTATAAAATTTGCCTTTTCTTTTCGTCCATATTGAGTAAGAAATGGTCAGATTCTATATTATCATATTTCTTTGTCTTTTTAAAAATGTTTTGGGGATTCATTTTTATTTCATGTGTGTAAGCATTCGCCTGCACATTTGGTACCACATGTGTGCAATGCCCATGGAGGCCCTAAGAGGGTATTGGAACCCCTAGAACTGGAGTTATAGATGGTTTTGATTTTGTGTGCTGGAAATCAAACCCTGGTTCTATAGAAGAGTGCCCAGCGCTCTTAACTGCCAAGATGCCCCTTTTGTTTCAGTTTCATAAAGTCTAATTTATAATAATTCTTAAGATCAAGATATTCTCATTCTGATGGATAAAAATTGTAAGTATGTAAGTGAAACAGGTCAGAACTGCATGTCTGATAAATTTTCCTGCAGTTTGTTTTCTTTATAAGATGGACTTGGATGTGTGCACTCCGACATGTTAGTGATCTGGCAGGTTGCCTCGGTGGCCTTTTCTCCAAAGCTTTATTGTAATGCTCTCATTCACATTTGGATAACCACATCCGAAGGAAACAGCTCTTGGTTTGGTTTGTGAAACATTTGTTAATGTCCGTATGTTATTATTATTTAACAGATCATTCAACACCAGCCAGCCAGTCTCCTCATTCTTCTAACCCAAGCAGCCTGCCCAGTTCTCCTCCAACACATAACCATAATTCTGCTCCATTCTCTAATTTTGGACCCATTGGAACGCCAGATAACAGGGATAGGCGGCCTGCAGATCGGTGGAAAACTGATAAACCAGGTAGATCCCATTTCTTTCTCTGCCAGGCAAAAAGGATATGACTTGTTCTAACTTTGCCTGGAGCTTGATATTGGCCACTGATAAGACATTCTGAATTCTTACCCACTTTCATCTCTTAGCCATGGGTGGTTTTGGCGTTGATTATCTCTCAGCAACATCATCATCTGAGAGCAGTTGGCATCAGGCTAGCACTCCAAGTGGCACCTGGACAGGCCACGGCCCCTCCATGGAGGATTCCTCCGCTGTCCTCATGGAAAACTTAAAGGTGAGTAGATTTCACGAGGCTCCTGCTGTGGAAGTTCCTCTGCTTTCCTCCATGGAGGCTAACTCAGTGTGGTGTCAGGGTGTCCAGAAAGGTAAAGGGTTTAGTTTCATCCTTGTCTTAAAATTTTGGTTTATCTTGTTGTGATTGATTTAACAAATTAAGAGTATATAATTATTTGACCAATTAAGAGTATATAATTTTAAATGTTTTGTTTGCCTAAAACATTTATAGTAAACTTACTCTGTTATGCCATATGAGTTTTAGTAGAAAAACTTAAAACATGATTTCATCTGGTCTTGGTACTTGCGCTGTAATCTCAGGTATAGCTAGAAGGGATAATCTTTCCAGGCCAGTCTAGGGTACATATGGAAACTCTGTCTTAGGGTTAAAAACTGTACTTTCACTGTTTGACGTTTTAAAATAATCTAAGGAATGAGTCTCTTGGTGACTTTTTCTTAGAGCTGAGTTGTTTGGGATTTAGAGGACATACTTGCCTTTAGGACTAGCTAAGGATTTAAAATAAGTCCCTGACAGATGACCAAGACATTTGACCTCTGCTGACAATTTTCTGGGCTATTTTTCAGTCTATCTGGTCCAGTTCCATGATGCATCCTGGACCCTCCGCTCTGGAGCAGTTGTTAATGCAGCAGAAGCAGAAACAACAGCGGGGACAAGGTGCCATGAACCCTCCACACTGAGGCCACAGTAGCGACCCAGGGAATGAAGGCTCCATAAACCATGGCATGTTGGGTTTGCAGGACTGGCCCACACAGACCCTGCAGGTGGCAGCCCTCTTGTCTGTTTCTTGCTGTCGAGAGGGTGTAAGTGTTCCACCAGCCCGCTGAGTGTGCACGAAATGTTCGCAGTGCAACAAAAAGAAAAAACCCATCAGGAACTCTGGTTCCCCGGGGCTTTCCGGAGGAGAGAGGAGCTGCTGTTTGTTTCACTCGGTTACTAATAGCACGCCTCTCACCTTCTCCACCGCGCATGTCCCCAACACGTGGGAAGTGGAAGCTGAGAAGGGAAGGCAGATGGGAGAAGCCAATAGGAACTTCTCAGTCCTTTTTTCCTCTTTGGGGAATAAAATAGGAATCCATTATGAGTGCTTTGCTGACTGAGAATGTAGTTGAAATTACTCTTAAACATCTTTTATTGTTATTACTCTCAGTAGCAAAATAACACACTGAATTCTTCCATACACAGGTGTACTTCTAGTCAGTGTGGAGCAAAGACAGTCCCGTTTGTGCTCCCGTGAGAGGTCGGTGGTGACAGGACAGGGAACTGACCTCTTAAGCCAGTGGGAGTGTTCCATAAGGGAGAGTACAGGCCTCTTAGAAGGTTCTGGCAGGCCTTCCTCCAGCCTGGAAACTCCAGCAGGAAATGCCCTTCACTCTGTAGGTGCTCGAGCCCTAATCGAGGATGCAGTGTGGGTGGTGCTGCTGGGCTAGACCAGCAGGTGGCTGCTGTAAGATTTCAAATTAATGTTTTTGATTCCTACACTTTTGCAGTAGCGTAGCAAGCAGTCTCACAGAAGGCAGGCTAGTCCATTCATAGCCTGGAACACATTTTAATAGGTGGATGCTTTCAGTGTGGTTATTTTTTGTTAAGTTGGTTTTGTGTCCCCATCCTGCTTACCAGCCTCTTGCACCAGTCTCCACCCCTTTAGCCATATGCTGTATCCTAGTAATTGTTTTATCCCTAACCTGTGCAACATCTCGCCAAGAAGCAGCAGCATGGGGCCAGCACTTGGGGCCCAAAAGACGGTCTGAAGAGGAGGAAGCAGTAGTGCCTGCATCACTACAGAGGAGCCAGGCCTCTGCCCATCGCAGGCTCCCAGCCTTCATTCACCTCAAGAACAAAATTGAAGGCAACGGACAAATGCACACTGTGCACAGAAGAAATCACAACGAACGCCGCTTTGAAAAGGGCGAAAGAAAGGAATAAACTCTTTATTTCATATTTATTGGGAGGAAAGAGGACTGAAGATGTTCTGTGTAGGAACAGAAGGACGGCATTTCTGTTAGTCATTTCCTGGAAAAGTAATATTTTAAGGGGAAATTATGGAAACAATCTAAATGTCCAATTGCTGTGCTAGGATAGGAATTATTTTCTGGGAGGTAGGTGTGTGTGTGTGTGTGTGTGTGTGTGTGCGTGTGTGTGTGCGTGTGTGTGTGTGCGCGCGTGCGTGTGTCCCCACACATGGCTGTCTATTCTCCCAGAGGGCATGGGCTGAGTGTGGGAGTTAGGAGGAACTGAGCTGGAAGACAGCTGTAGAGCAAAGCACATCAGGAACCCCGGGTGTCATGGGATCTGGGTGGCCCCAGCAATGAGAAGGGGTGAGGTAGTGCTCATTGCTCTTCAGAAAGAGTGCTTGAAGCCCCAGGCTTAATGCTATTGCATTTTTAGTTTGACATGGTATTTGGGTTTTCTTGGTTTTGTTTTGTTTTGTTTTTGAAAGGTCTAGAAGTGAAACCCCCCACCCAATGGCAAATGAAACCCTCTGTGCTGCTCCAGTCCCCTCCATTTGTCCACCTTTGTCCTCTTCCCTGTTTCTTCCCTGCTGCCTTCACCCAGTTTGTGTGCGTAAGCTCTGCATTCAGACAGCTGCAACATTCCGATGTTGGAAATGTCCCTGATTCTTGCACCTTAGACCAGCCAACAGGTTTACCATCTCCCTCCCAGTAGTACCCACTTCCCATCTACAGCCCCAGTCTGCATGAGAATTTGGTGTTTGGAATGTTTTATGACTCTTGGCAGGCTTCCTTGCCTTGCCATCCTCAATATGGGGTAAGGAGGAAGAGGAGGAGAAGAATCTTCAACTGGTTTTGTGTAATAAACTTTCCTTTGTGTTTTGTTTTGATTTTTTTTTCTCCTGTCTGTCTGTGCAAGATCTGCAGCTGCTGAAATCAGCTTTGCCTTTAATTAAACCGTGTTCTCTCCAACCAGATCTGTGTATGGAGTGTTTATTCTGCCTTCAAGGATACAGAAGTCAAAACACCCCTTAGAACTTTAACTACTTAGCCATCTGCAGGAGCAAACAAAGATGGCTACAGCTCAGTATGCTTTGGGGTTTCTTTTGCTTTTCTTAGCATTCCAGTGAATTGTTCTGGAAAATGATAGTTAGAAACAGGCTGCCACAGCTCTTTAAGAGAGTGGCTTCTGTAAAGCAGGAGCTTTCTGTTTTGTAGCTCATCACTCTGCTTATATCTGACCTTTAAACTCCACTGACTCTGACAAACACCACATAACTTAGCCTTGCTGTGGCTTCTCTTCAGTTTGTCTAAAGTTTCCAAAGGCAACTTCAACAGTGTGCTAGGGGCCAGAGCTAACACCGACTAGTTGCTCTCCTCGATTGTGATTCCATGTAAAACTCACTGCCAGGCAGTGATGGCGCACACCTCTAATCCCAGTACTCAATCGCTTGAAAAACAAACAAAAAAATGTCATTCCTACCCACTTTTTACTTGTACCTACAAACTTGAAAAATAGTTAGCAAAACTTTATGTGCTGCAAGGAGTGACAGGGCAGTAAAGTCCCATGGTCTAGTGCTTAGGGGTCCCTGTCCCCAGTTAACCTGAAGGACCACCAAAATGTGCTTTATCATGTGAGTTAGTCTTGAATAATACATGTAAAACAGCAAAATTTGTCTCTTAAAGGGCAGCAGACTGCCTCCTGAACACAGCTTGTCATCATTCAAGTGCTAGTGACATATGTTCACTATTGAACTCTTAGTAAATGTCTATCTGACAAGGCAATAAAGAACTTAGAATATTATTCTAAGAGCTTGATTCTCATGGAACTGATTTCATGAGTGCCCAATTCAGCCTAGCTTCTCTTTACAATGTGCATGTCTTCTGAATTACATGTAAATTTGCTTTTAGCTTCTGGAATCCAAACTCTTAAGGTTCGGGAAGAATAATATTCCCACTCAGCCATTGGGCTTAGACATGGGATATCCTGGTCTGTTTCATAACAGAAAGGTGCACCCATTGACATACAGCTCCAGAAATCCTTTTAAAGTTCAACACATTTGGCTAGCCAGCAGCCAATAAGACTTCTTCATTCCCCTTCCAGAATATATGCATCTGCCCCTTCTCATCTACAAGGAAATCTTTATCTCAAATTCTCATTTCTGTGTGACAGGTTCAGTTTTAATAGGAAAATGTTAGAGAACATTTCCAAACATGTCTGGATAGTACACAGCAGAGATGGGTAAATCTTGCAAAAACAGCACTCCTTTTCTTCAGCTCCATAGGCTATAGAGCATCCTAGACTTCTCTGGGAGTGCCTTCGAAATCCTTGACTGCACGTTCTTCAACAAAAGCCTTAGGGAAGATGCCAATTTTCCCTTTACACTCCCCTTCCAGCCATTCTTCATTCACTGAGAAAAGACAAAGTATACATCGATTACTAAAACCATACAGAAAAAATTGCATCATCGTGAGTGGCTGGCATACACACCCAGCTGGTCATCTTCCCCTGTTCCCATTTGTGCTAACAAATAATAATAATAATACTGGAAAGTAGTTTGAGGTTAAAGTGAACATACAGTCTTACGGTGTTCTGTTCTAGATGTGATAAACACACAGTAAAATGTAGGATGAATTGCCATAAATATACACAGACTGAACATGAGTCCTTGGGTGAGTTTTGTTTTTGAGAAGCCGTTTATCTAGGCTTTGCTAGGATTCATTTTGATAACATGATAGGGCATGCTGTTAATGCCATAGTGAGTGATTAGTCAATACCTTAAAAGTTGGAGCTAGTTGAATTTAGTACATTTGTAAAAATAAGCATTATAAGACATGTCATAGTCCTGTGCCTACTAGAGTAATTGACAGGAGGGAGCCACACACATTTGTTCCCTCTTACTAAAAGCTAGGAAGTCAGTTGAAACTATTGACTAAGAGTTGCTGTTTTGTTCTGTCTGCCCTTGACCTTGTTTTTGCTGATCAGAGAGTCTGGTCTGTGAACTTGGAGAAGCACTTACCATGTGATAGCACCAGGATTACATCTCCTTTCACAAATTCCAGGTCTTCTGGCTGAATGGCCTCATAACTGAAGATCGCTACCACTTGGCTTCCTTCCTTAGGCTGAGGCTCTGCTGTCTGGGTATCAGCTTCAGAGGTTTCACTTTCCTTGGGTTCATCCACAAAACCTTGATCACCCTGAAATAGAAGGGAGGGGCCTATTAAATTCATTAATTTGTTGGCCAGTGAATTCTGAAAACCACTAACAAACAGTTGATGCTCCATACTTACCATAGGACTAAATCATTCTATGAGCACTCTGGTTGAGTAAGCGAACCTGAAAGGTATACAGAGCCCTGTGTAGGCCCTGAGTTGCCTTACTATAGTCCCAGGGTAATGGATGTGTTGTTCTTTCCTTTCAGATTGGGAAATCATTTGAGCAACAAGTCTGTTTAGCTAGTTTTTATACTGTGTGTATGTGAGCTATGGTGTGTGTAATGTGGAGATCAAAGGACAACTTAGAACCAGGTGATGGTGGCTCATGCCTTTAATTCTGGCACTCAGGAGGTGGAGGCAGGTGGATCTCTGTTGTGAGTTCGAGGCCAGCCTGGTCTACAGAGTTCCAGGACAACTTGGGAAAGTCAGTTCTCTCCTAACATGTGGGTCCTGAGAAGTGAGACTACCTACTGAGCCATCCTGCTGTCCCTAAGATTCTTGGCACTGGGTTCATCCTCTTTCCCTAGCCCAAACACTGAGGATCTTGTTAGGAATTCGGCTTTTGCGCTCCATCTCGAACTTAACTACACACACCAGCCTTCCTCAGAGCTAGCTCTAGGTAATTCTCATACTTTCCAAAGCTTCAGAACCATGACTTGATAAAACAATTTCTGATGCAGGGTCTCATCGGATAGCACAGGGCTGCCTGGAAGTCATTTTCTTGCTTCAGCCTCCTGAGTGTTGAGATTGGATGTATGGTACCATGCCTGGCTGCATGTCCTCCTTAGACAGTGCAGGGAAGTGGGAATAGCCCTCACCAAGTCCACAGACCTAGTTTGGTTTTTTGTGTTTTTTTATGTGTTTTGCTTACATGTATGTCTGTATGCCACTTGCATGCCTGGTGCCCATGGAGGCCAGTAGAGGGTAATAGATTCCCTGGAACTAAAATAACAGGTGGTTGTGAGCTGCCATGTGGGTGCTGGGAATCAAACCTAGGTGCTCTGCAAGAGCAATGCCATCAACTGCTGAGCCATCTCTCTAGCCCAATCCTAGGTTTGTATACCAGCTCCCGTGTGCTGGCTGTGGGTCCCTGAGTAGCAGCATAGCCTCTCTGCTGGTTTCCATACCTGATGTTGAAACTAGGGAGTGACATGAGGAAGTGTGGCAGCCTAACATGTCCCCTGGGGAAGTACTTGAATGTGGCTGGTGTGTGCACTGAATGTGTCAACACAGTTAACGGCAGTATGCTTGACTTTGCCTGATTAGTGATGGATGGGAACAACTTAGAGCCTCCAAAGACAACAGTGGCAGAGAACTCCAGCAGTGACGAGCCTGGGTGGAGTTCTCAAAAGACTGTTGGGAGTTCGGGGGAATCTGTGCATACAGCTGCAAATAGATTGGCCTCAGAGGGAAAAGTAGTCGTTTATAAGAATGTTTTAAGGGCTGGAGAGATGGCTCAGCGATTAAGAGCATTGCCTGCTCTTCCAAAGGTCCTGAGTTCAATTCCCGGCAACCACATGGTGGCTCACAACCATCTGTAATGAAGTCTAGTGCCCTCTTCTGGCATACAGACATACATGTAGAAAGAATGTTGTATACATAATAAATAAATAAATATTAAAAAAAAAAGAATGTTTTAAGCCGGGCAGTGGTGGCGCACGCCTTTAATCCCAGCACTCGGGAGGCAGAGGCAGGCGGATCTCTAAGAGTTCGAGACCAGCCTGGTCTACAAGAGCTAGTGCCAGGACAGGCTCCAAAGCTACAGAGAAACCCTGTCTCGAAAAACTAAAAAAAAAAAAAAAAAAACTCTATTCACCCATCACTGTCACTGCTAGCCTCTAACTTTGCTCCTGACTCATGAATCTCACTTTCAAGTCAGGTGGCTCCTGTCTAGACTTCATGGCTAGTAAGACAGCGTGGCCTCGTATTGTCACTACAGCATGGTGACTGACAGCAGACGTGAAGCCAGATCCTTTACCCCTGAGCAGCTCTGTTATCTAGGTCCGGTCCCTGGACCTTTCTCTTGCTTCCTAAACATGTGATATATCTACCTGTATAGGACCACAGTAGATAACCAAGTCTCAGGAAAAGGCTGTTACTGCCTATGCAAAATAAATGCTCACTGTTTTCTGTCACCCTTAAATGCTCCTCATAGAGACCTAAGGTGAAGCAAGTGTGTGTGAGCTTGGCTTAGCCATGGTGTCAATCCTGCCCTTGGTGAAAGTGATGGCCATGATCCTTGAGCCGCCAAACTGGGGGAGGCAGCTTGGGTCTGTTTTCCGTTCACTTCTGGGGCTACTCATGCAACCCTCTCCCTGCTGTAAGTGAATGAGCCTGGAAGCCCATCACCGAGAGCCTGTTGTCTGGCATGAAGGAGATGTAGGCTAAATGCTGAATTCAGCTGGTGGAAATGACCTGGATGTCCCGGCTCCCTCCGCTCACCACTGTGTGCTCACACCAAAGAGTCAGGCAGTAGTTCTTCACTTGGCTCCAGGCATCCTTCACGGTTTCTTCTGACAGGAGCACAAGCTCCGTGCTGTCCCGAGGCCGGTAGCTAGTAGGGATGATGGGGAACGAGCAAGGCAGAGAGTTAGCTCAGAAAGCACCAGAGCCAGCCCTCTGCATCAGCACAGGACACACCCACCCCCGCCACGCTCTACCCTGAGCTGCCACCTTCATGACTCACCTCAGTTTAGTGTGTCCTGGCAAGAGCTCCAGTTTCTTGGACACCATGTCCCGAAGCCGGCTGTAGGGGAGGC